CCATAAAATGTTCACTACAAATTGTGTCGTCAGGTTTGGGATACCATGGCGACCCATCAACACTAAAATAATAAAGACAATAATGAATATCACATAAAATATATAGCGCAAATAAAATTGATCATAATTTAAGGTTATTTCGCTTACTTATTTCTTTTTATGGCATCTATCCATTTATTTCTTTGATTTAATTTCCAGTCCAATGTAGGAAATATATACACAGACTATTTGTGCCCTTATTTTTGCAATTCACAACACAACAACATCTATTAATAGGCATTTTAAAAAATTTTTGTTTATTACGAACTCCGTGCAAATTGACTTTACTTTCCCGGATTGTTGCGTATTTCTGCCACTATAAGCGCTGCGATCGCTTCACTATACCCCCACCATGTACTTCGCACATAGCGAATAGGTACTTTGATGATATATCCCGAATACTTGAAATGAATAAAGCTGGTTTAAAACAACTCTAATAGAAAAATTAAAATCTTTTGATTATCTTGCAACAGAAAAAATATTAATAGTTGATAAATAATCCTGTTTTGGCATTGCAATCGAAAACTATAAAATGTCCTATATGTATTATTTATTTAGAATTTATCTTTTTTATAAGAATAGTGTGTGTCAAAACTTCCCATCATGATTGTTTATAAAATATCTCACTAAGTACCTACAATTCATAAGTTTTCTGACCATTGTTTGGGGTGGAGGGTTGATAACCTGGGATACAGGATTTTTCCTAGTCCAGGTATCAGCCCACCACAGTCTGCTACATTGTACCATTGGTTCATGTAAGTTTTGTTTAGATTGTGGTATGAGAAAATAAATAATTATTATTAAAAAAAAAATATTATTATTATTATATGGTTGTCTCCGATATCAAAATATACATATAGTTGCCGGAATCCGATATAGATATATTGTTCAATTGGATTCAGAAAAAAAAACTATATTATCCACCTCTAACAAACACGATGGCACACTAGGCTTGTTGAAAATATATCGATGTATCGATATATCGATATTTTCTGTTCGATATATCGATATTTTTTGTCGATATATTTTGATTCGATATATCGACACATCGATACAAAATAACCAATATCGAAATTCGTATCAAAAACGATATTTTTTTATTATTAGCGGCATATCACGATCTAACTAAATTCGTATCTGGAAAAATCGTAACTGGATCTCAGATTAATGATATTCAACATACCTATGATCTGTGCTGTATTTAGTATTGTCTATGTCATCATTCGAAAATAGGGTCTATTTTTAGGGAGATAATTTTCGTTCCATTATTATTCCGCGTGTCATATTTCGTGAGCTATTGTACGATATTTTTGAGAAAATTGGTCCGATATATCGATGTTTTTTTCGCGATATATCGAAGCCGATATTGATATTTTTTAAAATATCGATGTATCGATATATCGATATTTTTTTCAACTTTCGACATCCCTATGGCACACAACACAGTCAAGCACATTCACACATGCTTGAAATTCAACATGGTGTTCAAAAATTTTTCTCTCGGTCTATATAAATATTATTAAAATATAAGGATATACTTGAATTTGTATCTTATATTAGGCTGTGTAAAGTAAAACCATAGCGCGATGGAGGTAGTCGACAGCGCCATCTTGTGGGAAACACGATTAGGTTTTATAAATACTATTTATTTTCTTAGGTAATTTATTATAAGATGTCACATTATATTATATTGTTACGTATCGGGATGGGGTTCGAATTTATATGCCAGTTCACGCTTGACAGTACATACTTTATTTAACACACAATGTTAATTAAAAAACACTCACTAAACACTGTATTTCACTATACAAGTCTCTAAACAATCGCACAATACTTTTATTGCACTTTTATCGCCTTTGAATTCGCTCCGAAATCGCAGTTGAAACTCAACTGTCTCTGCACGGCGTCAATCGCGCTTATATACGCCGATCGACGCATTCTAGAAAGTACCTGATAAATTGAGAATTAGCTAGCACCCGCGAGTACGTAGTACCTACTTATACCTACGCAGGTAACGCGCATAACGTGTAAACAAGTGCAGATGTCGTTGCACTTTCTCCCTTACGCCACACTGCATAAGGCTCATTTTAGAATGAGCCGCATTACTCGACATCTATCGCGACCCGCGGTGCTCTGGCACATTCGATCTCTAGCACTTTCGCGCTTACGTTTCGAGAGCGTTTGTGACAATATTTATACAACAAAAACTGAAAAAGCTGATTCATAATGTACAGTAGTGTTGAGTAGGACTTACAAGAGGCGGTACATTTGTCCCGGACATGACGTTAAAATGTAAGAGCGGCTCAAAATTTTAAAATGTACTACTTCACATTAAATGTCTCGTTACTCACTCACTCTTCGTAAGTCTGACTGAGAGAGAGCGAGGCATGACATTTCATTTAAGTCCTCTACGGACTATCCATCTGTATCTCTATCTCTTTTACGTGTATAGCGCTGTCCTGCATGCTGGATCCAGCAAGATTGATAGTGCGTAGAGGAGGTGCTACTCGTGTACACAAACGTAATGTCGAGCTTCTGTACGCCTCAATGTCATATTTGTACTCGTCACTTCAAATGTATTGCCGAGCTTCAGTACGCCTCGCCTCATTTGAAGTGGGACATTGTACTGGCTCAGTACAAAAAAGAGGCTACTCTTACAAACTCTTTTTCAAGTCGTGTCCTACCCAACACTAATGTACAGTACTTACTTTGTAAGATGTGGCGCAAACACACAAAATTATTTTTCTTTTCGCCTTTTCTTTATCCTAACACAAGCACTTTTACTGCTTAAAAAGATGTACCATATTTATACATTGTAGTAGGCTAAGTTACTGAAATAAACTAATTTTGTATTTATATTTTCATTTTTTTTAAGCATTTAACTGGTAGATGTTTAAATCTAAAGAAAAGATAACTAGAAAAAAATCCACGCGGACCAGGCAGCGGACAGGACTCGAACCCGCACCCTTCGCAATCCGGGCGAATGCACTGACCATTATGCTACCACGGCCCTATTCGCCGCGTCGAAATTTTCCTAACCTTAAGCTGCAAGGCTTTTCTTTAGATTTAAACATCTAGCAGTTAAATGCTTAAAAAAAACATAACTATAATTGCTATTTCTTCTTTCAAATGTTTAATACTTGAAAAAGTATTCGTTTGACATTGTGGGTTACCTACAATGCGAAGAGATGGCGCTGCCTTGCAGCTTAAGGCTAGGAAAATTTCGACGCGGCGAACAGGGCCATGGTAGCATAATGGTCAGTGCATTCGCCTGGATTGCGAAGGGTGCGGGTTCGAGTCCCGTTCGCTGCCTGGTCCGCGTGGATTTTTTTTCTAGTAATCTTTTCTTTAATTTTGTCTTTTTCGCGGGTTGTTGCGTTGTCTAGCTCAGCAAAGAACTATTGCAAGAGTCACTGATCAGGTACCTTCCAAAAAAAGGATAAGCTCATTGCGCGGAACCCTAATAGAGCCAAAACCAGGCTTGCGCTTGAATGACATGACCAGGCGGGCCCAGTGCGGATTAGCGGGTGCTAACGACTGCAGATGCAGCCGGGACCAACGGCTTAGCGCGCCTTCCGAAGCACGGAGGAGTTCGAGGTAGTAATTTTTTTGGTCACCCATCCAATGGCCTAACACTGCGAAAGTTAACTTCAATTATCGCAGCCGAACGCGCTTACCACCTGCTCCATCGAGCTCCTCACATCATAAATATTACAATACAAAGCATATCACATACCCAGCTCTTGGATCTCTCACAAAAGGTGTCAATCGCTCCACGGTCTCAATGTTGATACTGTAGAGTAAGTGAATAAACAAAGTGTATCACATACCCAGCTCTTGGATATCTCAACAAAAGGTGTCAATCGCTCCACGGTCTCAATGTTGATACTGTGGAGTAAGTGAATAAACAAAGTGTTATCACATACCCAGCTCTTGGATCTATCACAAAAGGTGTCAATCACTCCGCGGTCTCAATGTTGATACTATGGAGTAAGTGAATTAACAAAGTGTATCACATACCCAGCTCTTGGATCTCTCATAAAAGGTGTCAATCACTCCGCGGTCTCAATGTTGATACTATGGAGTAAGTGAATTAACAAAGTGTATCACATACCCAGCTCTTGGATCTTTCACAAATGGTGTCAATCGCTCCACGTTCTCAATGTTGATACTGTGGAGTAAGTGAATAAACAAAGTGTATCACATACCCAGCTCTTGGATCTCTCACAAAAGGTGCCAATCGCTTCACGGTCTCAATGTTGATACTGTGGAGTAAGTGAATAAACAAAGTGTATCACATACCCAGCTCTTGGATCTCTCACAAAAGGTGTCAATCGCTCGACGGTCTCAATGTTGATACTATGGAGTAAGTGAATAAACAAAGTGTATCACATACCCAGCTCTTGGATCTCTCACAAAGGGTGTCAATCGCTCCACGGTCTCATTGTTGATACTGTGGAGTAAGTGAATAAACAAAGTGTATCACATACCCAGCTCTTGGATCTCTCACAAAAGGTGTCAATCGCTTCACGGTATCATTGTTGATACTGTGGAGTAAGTGAATAAACAAAGTGTATCACATACCCAGCTCTTGGATCTATCACAAAAGGTGTCAATCACTCCGCGGTCTCAATGTTGATACTGTGGAGTAAGTGAATAACCAAAGTGTATCACATACCCAGCTCTTGGATCTCTCACAAAAGGTATCAATCGCTTCACGGTATCATTGTTGATACTGTGGAGTAAGTGAATAAACAAAGTGTATCACATACCCATCTCTTGGATCTCTCACAAAAGGTGTCAATCGCTCCACGGTCTCAATGTTGATACTGTAGAGTAAGTGAATAAACAAAATGTATCACATACCCAGCTCTTGGATATCTCAACAAAAGGTGTCAATTGCTCCTCGATCTCATTGTTGATACTGTGGAGTAAGAGAATAAACAAAGTGTATCACATACCCAGCTCTTGGATCTCTCACAAAAGGTGTCAATCGCTCGACGGTCTCAATATTGTGCGCGAACACATCCAGCCCGCACTCGGCTATGCGCCGTATGCTGTCGCGGTTGCCACGGAAATCCGGCACCAGGCATTCCACCAGGATCTCCTTGTTCCTGAAAAAAGAAATATATTAATTATTAACTAGCAAACCAGTGAACCAAATATTCACCAAAAAAAAAAGTTATTTTAATTTTTTTTAAGCATGTTTAAATCTAAAGAAAATATAATTAGAAAAAAAATTCCACGCGGACCAGGCAGCAGACGGGACTCGAACCCACACCCTTCGCAATCCGGGCGAATGCACTGACCAATTATAACTATAATTGCTATTTCTTCTTTCAAATGTTTAATACTTGTAAAAGTATTCATTTGACATTGTGGGTTACCTACAATGCGAAGAAATGGCGTTGCCTTGCAGCTTAAGAATAGCTAGAAGAATTTCGGCGCGGTCCGTGAGGGCCGCGGTAGCATAATTGGTCAGTGCATTCGCCCGGATTGCGAAGGGTGCGGGTTCGAGTCCCGTCTGCTGCCTGGTCCGCGTGGATTTTTTTCTAATTATATTTTCTTTAGAAAAAAAATGTATTTAATTAATTGAGAACTTCGGAGATTTTGTGTGGTTTCGTTTGAAATAGAAATCACGTGATTTCTCGAAAACCGGAAGTGCTACGTTACTCAAATCCGGTTTGTAGTCTTATCAGACTATTTTTGACTTATAACTTAAACATTCTCTTTATCTATCTCTTACGGTTTGGCCGCTGAAACAGCACCACGGACGGACGGACTTGTCTATTAGATAAGAGATAATCTGTCAGTCGTATGGTCATGTCAGGTCAGACTTATCTACAAGAAAAAACTCATGCTAGAAAAAATTAACGCGGACCAGGCAGCAGGCAGGACTCGAACGCGCACCCTTCAGTATCCGAGCGAATGCACTGAACATTAAGATACTGCGGCCCTGATGGCCGTGGCTGAGGAATTTTCTCTAGCATTTCTTAGGCTTTGATTTGATTTTGACATAAACTCGGAGGCGTCATTAAATTTGATGCTTGTAAAAGTGATGTGTTTCTTGATTCTTCTATTGCTACCGCAAAGGAAAGGTCAGCATCAGCTTTAATCAAACTTAATTTATTGTTGTCTTTGAGTGCGGCCTTAAGATAAAATATTACTTACTGTCTCTTGATTTCTTCCACGGTTTCAGCGAAATGTGTGGAACCTCCATCGGACAGATCTGAAATACAATAATTTGCTACAATAGGGATGATGACTATTTTTTTTTTTCTTCGTTTATCAGGTAGATTATCAAAAAGTATTGGACACGTATTTTTTCTTTTTTCACATAATATAAACATTGCAGAGATATATTGATTTGAAAAGTCGCATGACGTCACGTTTGAGTACACTTATAAGCGAAAATTCACTCAAAAGTGACGTCACGAGCCCCTACTCCCAAACTTTGACGCGCTATAACTTTGTAATTTTTTGGTTGATTACCCAAAGAAAAAATACGTGTCCATTATTTTTTGATCATCTAACTGACGGACTAAATAGAATTTCGTTTACTGTACCCCGTCATCACCCCTATTATAATTAAAAGACTAGGTGCGTGATGGAGCATTTAGTCTGCGATCTTGGGAGTAAAGTAACTTTTGCAATGGCCGGTAATAAGATGATGAATGAATTAAAAAAAATATCATTAAGCTGGTGCGCACCGGACATGGGTGGTCCAATCTCCATATCAATCAATCAATCTATGGGGAAAGCTTGTGCCTCAGCAATGGGGACACACATTCTACTATAACTGAAGACATCAATGCACATGTCGCTATTCAACATCATCGTCATCATCATCACCAGCCTATTAACGTCCCCACTGCCGGGGCACAGGCCTTCCTTATGGATGGAATAGAGTTTGGGCCATGACCCACCACGCGGGCCCAGTACGGATTGGTGGGTGCCAACGACTGCAGATGCAGCCGGGACCAACGGCCTTGCCGGCCATCCGAGGCACGGACGAGCTCAAGATAGTAAATTTTTGGTCACCCATCCAATGACCGACCACTGAGAAAGTTGCTTAACTTCAACGATCCCGAACGCGCTAGCCACTTGCGCCATCGAGCTCCTCAATGGTGCCATTATTGCTACGTTATAGCATGAGCACCGCAATATGATTTATGTATAACTCATTTTTATTCCGCTCAATGAGGGCTATCGCGTATGAATCCGCCGCTAGAGGCGCTAGTGTAGCGTGAGGTCTCCGAAATGTCAAATGTTATTGCTTGTTGGTTGACTACGCGGGTTTATTTCTTATTAAAATAATGTTGTGAATAATTGGTAACAATTCGGCTTAATTATGGCAAATATGAGTTATGTGGCAAGGAATGTCAGTTATTAAAAATTTGAGCTTAGAAAAATGATTATGTTCCCATTTTTTCCGAATAAAACGGAACTGCGCGTCACTGTGGCATGGCCTATTATGTTTAGGATATGGTTCTTTTGTGTTAAAATACGATCTAAATGTAACCTTTGATTTCATGTGCGTATTAATAAACTTTAAAAGTTACAATTTAGGACCTCACTCAACAGTGGCGCCATCTGGTGAGACAGAAAACGGTAGCCCTCATTGTTATATTACTATGGAGTTTGACGCGACAAAAACCGTGATATATATTGTAAACTGTGGTGCTTATGTTACAGGGACTGGAGTGACCGCAATATTGCATATATTGCGGTCAGGGGAAGTGAACTGCTTATACAGCAAGCGGCACGTGGCGAATCACTAGACGTTTAGCATAGGAATAAATTAAGAAGCTCGATGGCGCAAGTGGTTAGCGCGTTCGGCTGCGATCATTGAACTTAAGCAACTTTTGCAGTGGTCGGTCATTGGATAGGTGCCCAAAAATTACTAACTCGAGCTCCTCCGTTCTTCGGAAGGCACGTTAAGCCGTTGGTCCCGGCTGCATCTGCAGTCGTTAGTACCCACCAATCCGCAATGGGCCCGCCTGGTGGGTCATGGCCTAATCTTCCTATTCAATCCATAGGGAAGGCCTGTGCCCTAGCATTGGGGACATTAATAGGCTGATGATAGGAATTCAGCGCGTCACTTTCCATTAATCTGCAATTGGGGCACGTTAATTCCAATTACTTTGTTTTTTAAATTTATATAAAGCCTAATTTGCTGGCAAATTAATATTTTAACATAAATTTGATTCTCTTTTTATATCTTTATTCAGCTAATTATTAGATAAATCAGGACAAAACACTTTTTGTTCTTTTTCGTTATATCCGGTTGCAGCTTCTATATTTTACTTACCTTTTCTGCCGGCAGAAGTGAGCACGATGAACCCGAGCCCCCACATGTTGACAGCAATAGCAGTGTTCCTCTGTTCATCAGCAAGCGTCACCCATCAACTACACACACTTAGCTTCGAGCTGGCTTCATATGACACACTCACCGTCCCTGTCGACGGATGTCAGCACAATATACCCGAGGTCAGACTTGTTGACAGTAATGGCAGTGGACGGGACTCGAACCCGCATCCTTCGCTATCCGGGCGAATGCACTGACCATTATGCTACCACGGCCCTATTAGCCGCGTCGAAATTTTCCTAGCCTTAAGCTGCAAGGCAGCGCCATCTCTTCGCATTGTAGGTAACCCACAATGTCAAATGAATACTTTTTCAAGTATTAAACATTTGAAAGAAGAAATAGCAATTATGATTTTATTTATTTTTTAGGCATTTAACTGCTAGATGTTTAAATCTAAAGAAAAGTTTACTAGAAAAAAATCCACGCGGACCAGGCAGCGGACGGGACTCGAACCCGCATCCTTCGCTATCCGGGCGAATACACTGACCATTATGTTACCACGGCCCTATTAGCCGCGTCGAAATTTTCCAAGCCTTAAGCTGCAAGGCAGCGCCATCTCTTCGCATTGTAGGTAACCCTAGTATTACCCTACTATTTTTTTCAACAAACAAAAAAAAACAACAACAACAACAACCAACAACCAACCAACCAACCAACAACCAACCAACCAACCCATCAACTACACACACATAGCTTCCAGCTGGCTTCATATGACACACTCACCGTCCCTGTCGACGGATGTAAGCACAATATACCCGAGGCCCGACTTGTTGACAGTAATGGCAGTGTTCCTCTACTCTTCACCAAGTGTCACCCATCAACTACACACACTTAGCTTCAAGCTGGCTTCATATGACACACTCACCGTCCCTGTCGACGGATGTAAGCCCAATTCACCTAGCCCCCACTTGTTGACGGCGCTAGCAGTGTTCCTCTACTCTTCAGCAAGCGTCACCCATCAACTACACACACTTAGCTTCAAGCTGGCTTCATATGACACACTCACCGTCCCTGTCGACGGATGTAAGCCCAATTCACCTAGCCCCCACTTGTTGACGGCGCTAGCAGTGTTCCTCTACTCTTCAGCAAGCGTCACCCATCAACTACACACACTTAGCTTCAAGCTGGCTTCATATGACACACTCACCGTCCCTGTCGACGGATGTCAGCACAATATACCCGAGCCCCCACTTGTTGACAGCAACGGCAGTGTTCCTAGGTTTCTCAGCAAGTGTCACCCATCAACTACTCACACATAGCTCCAAGCTGGCTTCATATGACACACTCACCGTCCCTGTCGACGGATGTCAGCACAATATACCCGAGCCCCCACTTGTTGACGGCGATGGCAGTGTTCCGCGGTTCGTCAGCATCGAGAGGCGGCGGTGCGCGCGACGTTTTCACCGAGCAAAACATGCAGCCACGAGTGCAAGTGTCTCCCATCAACTAAACACACAACTTTACAGCTTCACACGATTTAATATTAGGGCTAAGAACTCACGTCGCGATTTTTTCCCGCGCCAGCCGCGGGGACCGCGACACGCGTGGAATGTAATATTGTAGGTGAAACGTATGGTGTTTATTGCGCCCGCTGCGGGTTGCGAGATCAGGTGGATTTCGCCGCAATTTTGCAATCGCGGCCAGCAGAAAACTGCAGCCTCGTGAGTTTTTAAATAAAACAACTCCAAGGCCGCCCGCGACTGGCGTGCTTAAAAATCACTTCGTGAGTTCTTTACCAAAGGCATCGTCCTAATTGGCAAAGATGTAAACGTTCCTTTCATCGTGCGATGATTTTCAAACAAAGATTTATGAATATTACCCATCTATAGATTGTATTTCTTCAGAAGTGTCCTAATACAGTTCGTAAGCTATCACACGAGCACAGATACATTATTTTCATCCCATGATGCCATCGAGACGTGAACACTCACGGCTGGACTGATCCACCAGTTTAAAGTCGCTCAGAGAGCTATGGAAAGGGCTATGCTCGGAGTATCCCTGAAGGACCGCATCAGAAATGATGTAATCCGACAGAGAACCAGTCACCGACATAGCCTACCGAATTAGTAAACTGAAGTGGCAGTGGGCTGGTCACATTAGCAGAACTGACAGCCGATGGAGCCGTAAAGTTCATGAGTGGAGACCGCGACTCGGTAAACGTAGTGTGGGACGCCCTGAGCCAAGATGGGATGATGACATTCGTAGGCTGGCTGGAGTGGGCTGGATGAGAGTGGCAGAAAATCGGGAGCAGTGGCGTGCATTAGGGGAGACCTAAGTCCAGCAGTGGACGAGCATGGGTCGATGATGATGATGATGCCATCGCACGACAGGTGCCAATCAGGAGGACGCCTAAGACTTATGGAGAGTCGCTTTATACACAGAAAAAAAAATCGAAAATAGCTCTTACTATTCATAAATATGACCCATCTATAGATTGTATGTCTGCAACATTAGCTTGTACAGAGATACTTTTACAGAGCAAATAAAAATTAAATTTACAAAAAAAATTTTTTTAATAATGTAAAGAATTTGATGATGATTTTTTTTTTGTTTTATACATATTAAAGTATCACTTTCAAGGATAATATCACATTCTAAAAATCTGCTGATACCCCAATGAGGTAGCAAATTTTTTTTCATCGGAAAATGGAGCTAATTGCTCTAAGTGGAATGTTAAATTTCTTAAATTTAATATTTTTAGCATTAAACTGATAAGATTTACAATTCATAAATCCAGCCTGACCACTTGGCCAACAGATTTTTTTTATTACATTTTACATACCTACTTATTACAATTCTAGTATATTAAAAACTCACCATAATTGTAGCAGTAGAGGTGCCATTCTTGCCTCCACTCCAGCACTCCCCGATATTTGGACACCGAGCCTCTTCGCATACTGTACTCAATTTTAACTCCCTCAACTGTTTCTTGACTTCACTGAACTTTGCACCTAAAATCCGATCATCAATAACTTCGCACAGATTGTCATTGATACATTTGCCATCGCAACTACATTGTTAATAAAAACACTGAAACAAGCATTAAATAAAATTAGTTTCAACGGTATTGATGCACTGATTTATTTATTTATCGACGTTAAAATTGACGATAAATAAATCTGTGCATCAATACCATTGAAACTTGTTTTATTTAATGAGTGGTGTGTGTAAAAATCTAAGAAACCAATAAACTAGCATTGATAAGAAAGCTTTACTTAGCATAATGACCTTTTGTTGGTCGTCATAATTAGGAAGCATGATAAGACACATTAAAAGATATTGTTTCGTAGTATTAGTATAGTATGTAACTTGTCAAACACATTGTTTTCTGATGTAAACTATAAAGAGCACCCCAAAACTATTAATCCAAAATTCTAATAGAGTTGACGACAGGGTTAATCAAATGAAATTAGTAGAGTATTTCGTCCGGCAGTTACAATATCAAAATATAATAAACACTTATTTTTTCTTTTACAATCAACCAAAAAATTACAAAAATAAAGTAGGCATGTGAAGTCACTTCTAATTAAAAAAATTACCAAGAAGTGACTTCATGCAACATTTCAAATCAATTTAACTCTGTAATGTTGTATTATTGGATTGTAATCTATCTGATAAACAAAGAAACATAAGCTAGTCATCATCTCTATTATATGATATGATACTTAATTCTTTCTTTTTTGACTGCCTTTCTTTTAAATTGAATTGTATAGCACCTAAACAAACAAACATATATATTTAACCTGTAGGTATAGTTGTTTTAAGCCAGGGGGGCAGTCGCAATCTCTCCGTTTCGCCTTTTTCTCTCTTCAATTTCCCTTCATATTCTTGCCAGTCTTTGGGTCGGTCTTCAGAAACAAAATCTGCTAGACTGGGGCCTTCTCGGAGTTTCTCTCTGATGGCATCTAGTTTGCTTGTATGTTTATGTCGTTGAAGCTAAAATATGTTCCACTATGGAATGAAATGGAAAGACTGTGCGACAGAGAGCTGAGAGACAACCAACTAGTCAATGTTCCACTACATCCGAACCAACACGCCTATAGTCCAGGCAAGTCGACAGAATCTGCACTACATGCAGTCGTAAGTAAAATAGAGGATAGTCTCAGACGGAAAGAGCTATGTCTGGGCACCTTTATAGACATAGAAGGCGCGTTTGACAAAACAAGCTTCGCCAGCATAGTAGACGCACTTGGCAAACACGGAGTCGATGAGACCATTATATACTGGGTAAGTAACATGCTCCATAACAGACTAATCAGACTACAAGACGACAACCATCTCAGAGCATTGGCAACTAAAGGATGCCCTCAAGGAGGAGTACTGTCGCCTCTGCTATGGAATGTAGTTGTAAACGACTTAATTACCAAACTAAACAACCTTCACTACCACACGGTAGGCTACGCGGACGACCTTGCAATCATAATTCCAGGTAAGTTTGCGAGCACCGCCTGTGATGTTATGCGAGGGGCAATGAAGGTTGTTGAAAAATGGTGTGACGACTACGGCCTTAAGGTGAACCCAGTGAAGACGGAATTGGTCATGTTCACGAATAAAAGATCATTAGGCGACTCTCGGCTACCGAAACTATTTAACACGACACTGAGGCTCTCCAACGAGGTAAAGTATCTAGGAATAACCCTAGACTCCAAACTGAACTGGGGATCCCACATAGACAAAACTACAACGAAGACTAACATCATTTTCTGGCAATGTCGCAAAATGATTAGCAAAACTTGGGGACTATCACCGCTCATTGTTAAGTGGCTATACACGACCATAATTAGGCCCATCATCAGCTATGCAGCAGTAGTATGGTGGACCAAGACAATCCAGGTAACGACAATTAATAAGTTAAGACGTCTCCAGAGGCGGGCATGCTGTGCAATCACCGGCTGCATGAAAACCACTCCCACATCAGCACTGGAGACAATACTTAACGTGAGACCACTCCACTTGTTTATACAACAGGAAGCTGCATGTACAGCCACGCGCCTAAGCATGCTGGGGCATTGGAGAGACAACAACTCCCCGCACACCAGCATCTTGGCAGACATACACAGGCACTTTCCGTACTTTGCAGCAGTAAACGACCTTATTCCTAAGACGTACGTATTTGACAAAAAATACAAAATTCAACTTTATGAAGACACCCCGGACCGTTGTCTGCATAAGGAGTTGAGGGTCTACACAGACGGTTCAAAAACCAACTGTGGTACGGGCTCGGGTGTCTTCTCCGAAGACCTGAATATACACATCTCGACAGCTTTGGGTGCCTATAACACGGTCTTCCAGGCAGAGTGTGTGGGCATCATCAGAGCTGCTGAGGCGATAGAATGTCGCGGGGTAAGAGGTAAACACATTCGTATCCTCTCTGACAGCGCTTCTGTCCTACAGGCACTGGACAACAATATAATGACATCAGGCTTAATTTACAAATGCCACAGTAAGTTGACTAATATTGCTAACGACAATAGATTGACCCTACAGTGGATTAAAGGACACAGCGGCTCAAGGGGTAATGATGCGGCGGACTGCTTAGCCAGGGAGGGGTCTAGCAGGACGGCCATTGGTCCGGAGCCAATTATACCCATACCCTATCGGCAGCTGCGAACCTGGATAAGGGAGCGCTCTCAACGACAACACGACGATTACTGGTCAAAACTCACGGACTGCAGGCAAGCCAGGGAAGCCGTTCCTAAGGTAAACCTGCAGCTAACACGTAAGTTAATCAGACTACCTAGACAAGCCCTGAAACAAATCGTGGGTATACTCACGGGTCACGGCTACTTTAACAAACACCTTTGTAATATAGGTATTTCTGACAGCCCTCTGTGCAGAGCCTGCCTGGAGGCGGATGAGACGAGCGCCCATGTCCTACTGGAGTGCAGGGGCGTTGCAAGACAAAGGACTTCTCTAATGGGAAGCCCGAAGACAATAGTAGAGGCCTGCAGCAACATTCGGGGACTGCTGAGCTTTCTGGAGGAGCTGGGATGGCAGGACTGATGCCAATCCCCACGCAAAATAGGCACTAGGTGTCGAGTTGCGGAAACAGCCCGCCGTACTACTAAGACTAAGACTAATGTTCCACTATGAATGCAAAAATATTGTATTTTTGTCTATTTGATAAACTATGTGTATGTGGATCTTAATATCTATATTTTATCTGGGGAGACCTGGACATCACATTGGATACTTTATATAGATTCAAATAAAAAAGGCATAAATGCAACAATGCACAGAAGTTATAAAGATATTATTGATAGTTGATCTACTGCTAAAGAATTCAATAATGTGGGATTTTTTACTAAAGTTGTACTTTAGTCGGGGTGTGTGTGGAAATATGCAAATAAAAGTTTAATGTTAAGATATCAATATAATGATCGACTCATACTAGAAGTTGCTAAAAACATAGAAACACTATACTATACTCATTAATACTTACTTTACAACTCTTCACAAGAACACAGTATCTGTTATTGCGAAGCATGTTCAATGTTGCTTAATAAATTACAGCAGACTTTCAATAAGAAAACATCACAGTCTTCATTAGAACACAGTAGTAATTACTAATAATTATCATAGAGAAAAATAGAATTATCTAATGTAGCATTACGACAAATATTTAGGACTTATGTAAACTGAACTGTTTATGAAAATTTTAACCAATTTTTCCAATAAAAATTAGATTTTTTATCAGCTGATCATGAACACACAAAAAAAACACGCGAGGTATCTGTCATTTTTTTTTTTTTTATTAGAGGTATCTGTCAGTAGTTTCAGTGTCACCAGTGTCAAAAATGTCACAGTAGTGTTGCCGATCGATAGTCGACTATCGAGGATTAATCGATAGTCTATCGATAGCCGACCAATCGTATGACAATCGATTGGCTTATCGATAGTATCGATACTATTGCACTCATTCGATAGTATTGCCTTGTTCTGTGCTATCGATAGTTTCGATACTATCGATTGTATCGATTCTATCGATAGGCCTATCGATAGGGTACATGATTTTAGTTGTATACTGTCGATAGTTTTCATATCGATAGTTCGGCAACACTATGTCACAGTGACACAAAGTAAAGGCAGGAACATATTACACGTGTCGTCGTGGCGTGTCATGAGTGTGACGCGCCAGAAGCACATCGATTTCAGACATTTACTATGGTTAGAGACATAGGTTGCTTTCCAATTAAAGCATTATAGCGCATTATGCGGCATAATGCTTAACGTTGAGTGTTCCAACTACAGCAACGCTGCGCACAATTGAGCACTCTCAAAAGTGATGCTTTCTTGTGATGCATGCAATCGTACCAACTTAGAGACAGAAAATTAACAAGTGTTTTTTTCTTTAAGTTGGCATTGATCGAAATGTTTTATTTATATGTTATCGTTAGTAATATTATTTATCGTTGAAAAATTATTAAAGCTTTCGTTTCATTAAATAGTTTTTTTTTAAATAATCTAAGTTCATTCAAACTGTTAAAAAATAAATATAAGTATGGATGAAGGTACAAACATTGACTTTTTTTTTCAACACTGAACTTAGCGCACTCTGCTGGTGCATTTGAAAACTAATTCACGTTCCAATTAAGCATCAGCATAATTGGGCATTGTGCGGCACTGAGTCGCATTATGCTCTGTAATTGGAAAGCATACATAGGTTGCTTTCCAATTACAGCATTATAGCGCATTATGCGGCATAATGCTTAACGTTGAGTGTTCCAACTACAGCAACGCTTCGCACAATTGAGCACTCTCAAAAGTGATGCTTTCGTGTGATGCGTGCAATCGTACCAACTTAGAGACAGAAAATTAACAAGTGTTTTTTCTTTAAGTTGGCATTGATCGAAATGTTTTATTTATATGTTATCGTTAGTAATATTATTTATTGTTGAAAAATTATTAAAGCTTTCGTTTCATTAAATAGTTTTTCTTAAATAATCAAAGTTCATTCAAACTGTTAAAAAATAAATATAAATATGGATGAAGGTACAAACATTGACTTTTTTTTTCAACACTGAACTTTGCGCACTCTGCTGGTGCATTTGAAAACTAATTCACGTTCTAATTAAGCATCAGCATAATTGGGCATTATGCGGCACTGAGTCGCATTATGCCCTGTAATTGGAAATCATACATAGGTTGCTTTCCAATTACAGCATTATTGCGTATTATGCACCATAATGCTTAACGTTGAGTGTTCCAACTACAGCAACGCTTCGCACAATTGAGCACTCTCAAAAGTGATGCTTTCGTGTGATGCGTGCAATGGTACCAACTTAGAGAAAGAAAATTAACAAGTGCTTTTCTTTAAGTTGGCATTGATCGAAATGTTTTATTTATATGTTATCGTTAGTAATATTATTTATTGTTGAAAAATTATTAAAGCTTTCGTTTCATTTAATAGTTTTTTTTTTAATTATCAAAGTTCATTCAAACTGTTAAAAAATAAATATAAGTATGGATGAAGGTACAAACATTGACTTTTTTTTTTCAACACTGAACTTAGCGCACTCTGCTGGTGCATTAGAAAACTAATACACGTTCCAATTAAGCATCAGCATAATTGGGCATTGTGCGGCACTGAGTCGCATTATGCTCTGTAATTTGAAAGCATACATAGTTAGCTTTCCAATTACAGCATTATAGCGCATTATGCGGCATAATGCTTAACGTTGAGTGTTCCAACTACAGCAACGCTTCGCACAATTGAGCAGTCTCAAAAGTAATGCTTTCGTGTGATGCGTGCAATCGTACCAACCCAGTGACAGAAAATTAACAAGTGTTTTTTCTTTAAGTTGGCATTGATTGAATTTTTTTATTTATATGTTATCGTAAGTAATATTATTTATTGTTGAAAAATTATTAAAGCTTTCGTTTCATTATATAGTTTTTTTTAAACAATCAAAGTTAATTCAAACTGTTAAAAAAATAAAAGTATGGATGAAGGTACAAACATTGACTTTTTTTTTCAACATTGAACTTAGCGCACTCTGCTGGTGCATTTGAAAACTAATTCACGTTCCAATTAAGCATCAGCATAATTCGGCATTGTGCGGCACTGAGTCGCATTATGCTCTGTAATTGGAAAGCAACCATATTTGTAGGGCACACGTTTACATGTCTCTAACCACTATAAATGTATGAAAACGATATGCTTCTGGCGCGTCACGACCAGTCTTCCTAAAAGACAGTTACCTATTTAATTTACATTCATATTATTGTGTCCGTCATGCCAGCCTACATCATATCGAGTTCGAGGTTGTTACTTAACGTAACAAATAATATTTAATACACAGAATATTACCTCGTATATAGATAAAGAGTAGTTTGATTAGCCAAAAGTCTATGATATTTTCTAAACTCTTAGTCATAGAGCAACACGGCCGACACGGCCAGGAGTTGAGTAGGCATACATAGCTTTCCCCTCTGTCGCATTGGGCAGAAAAATTGGGCATACCTACTCATGGTATATGTATGCGTGTACGATATGGCGGTGTATAGTGTCATTGTTCATGTGTAAGTGTTGCGGCTACAGTTTTCGTTTCTTAGATTTGTACTTTATACTGCATTAATTTGTGTCCATATTCCCACGTGCTGAAATGGCAGAATGATTTGGACAGTATTATGTCGCTATGGCTACTCCCTAGAGTCTAGGGCCTAGAGCATAAACCAATGGCTAAGCTTCCGTATTGCTCTATGCTCTTAGCTCAATAAATTGAGAATCGAGTTCAGAAGTCGGAATGACATAAACTCATTTTTTGAAGTGAAACTTCTTTACGCACGCTTGACTTGGGGGGTAAGCTGGCAAATGCGTTACGAGTTACGAAAAGTGTGTTCGGGTGAGGTGAGCGGGAGTTGAGTGGGGGATATAAGCAAGAGAAAGCAGTGCACGCGCACATTTGCTTTCTCTCTTTCTCTTATAGCTAGTAAATGAAATATGTATATGCATATATTGTACACACAAATATAATACATACAGATGGAGCTAAAGAAGTTTCACTTCAGTCGTGTTGTCATAAGTACACTCGTTTTTTTCTGTTTGTATTTTACGCCAGTGACCTCGAACCTATTGATTTTACAGTATTTCTACCGAGATCAGCTCTGTTACCGAAATACAGAAATGAAACAATTCTGATTACCACTTTGATAATTAAATACATATAGTATATTAACCCAAAATATGTAATAATAAGTAACTTGAATATTCTGCAAGTTTATATTTTGATAAATAAATGAATCAATCAATACAATATTCTATTTGTTATCATATACCGATTTCAGTGGGCACTCTATCGATTTCGCACAATAAATGAATGAGGTACGAAACTAAAATTCAAACATAATCTTAGTTATCTGTGCATAGACTTCCATTCCGTGACATGACCGTGATCGTATTTTTCAGCACAGATTACTAATAATAATATGTCTACTTTGTGTCTTTTGATTCATTAAATGTTTTACTAAATTGTCAGTTTATTTAATTATGAAATCGTACCTAAATAAATTTCAGATATTATTATAAAGAATTTATGCTAATAATGCTGTGCAAGTGTAAAATAAAGTGTCGAAATTTAAATCAAATATGGTGACCTTGATTGTAGCAGCTGTCAACATAACCAATTTTCGAGTGCTCAGAAAAACGATATAAACATTGTTTATTCGGGAATAACCATCATGAGGACTGTTGATGCTCATCTTCTTGACGGGAAGATTGAGGAGACTGTCACCCACTACATAACATCACATCATGCTGGCGAGGTTTCTGTTATTTACTTCATAATTTGCATTTATTGACAATATTGATGCTTCTAAAACTTGCATTTAAACTTCCTTCTGTTCCTTGATTTAAATCCTCGCAGTCATGGTTAATTTTGTAGTACGTTATATGTGTTGTATATTTTATTTCCATAGCACAAGCTCTGCTTGGATTTGGAACTAAATAATTATTGTGAGCTGCTTAAAATTTGGTATTATTATTTATGTTATAATAATTTAGAACTTTTTATGTTGCAATTTAATTTCTGCAATGATTTTGTCTATTAATACCATGCTTAAATTCACATTTTAATTACCATGCATTTTAATTAAAGGCTTACCAATCCTAAGAGGATAAATATCCAAGATTTTAAATTTTGAAACTATTAACAACAAAACAAACAACAAAAACTAAATTATATTGACTGATAATTTATCCAAATCTATTTCATTTCTCTGGATTACCAATACTGGATATGTGATTTTGGTTGATTTATACTTTATACTTTTTGAAAGCCTTTATAAGTTTTCTGAATACAAAATGTTTGAATAATAAAATTCTTTTTTTATGAACTCTCAATAAATACTTTTAATTTTTGAAGTTATACTTCTTTAGCCGCGTTATGAAAAAATTATGAGAGTGAAATTTTAATTGCGCGCGCATCACTGTAGTACAAAAGTAACATAATGAAGTTAGCCGCTGGCGCGTTATGAAAAAATGATGAGAGTGAAATTTTAAGATGCGCGCGCATCACTGTAACACAATAGTAACACCATGAAGTTGGCCGCCGGCGCCAACTCTTTTCAGTCCTTTTATTATTTTATTGTAATTATTAATTATTTGCATGCAATTAAAAAATATTTTTAAAGATGCTAAAGAAGTATAACTTCTCACGCGCGTACATAAGTTACACGCATCCATTTTTTTTTTATTTAATATTGACACATCATTGCTGAAGACCCTTGCTAGTTGTTAATGGCATTTTTTAAGTTATTTTATTGTTACAATAAAGCTGAAATAACTTCATGAAATGTTGTTATACTGTTATTATGTTTTGTTAGGCCGCGCATGTTGATACCAACGGGCTCACTCTTAATGTGCAAGACGATGGAGGAGGCAGGGTAGTGACTGTGATGCACCCTCATAACTTCACGCCAAACATGTGCAGGTAAATATTACATAATTAATATTACATAGAAATCTACTATATAAAAATAAGTCGGGTTTTCCTTCCTGACGCTATAACTCCAGAACGCACGAACCGATTTCCACGGTTTTGCATTTGTTGGAAAGGTCTCGGGCTCCGTGGGGTTTATAGCAAAGAAAATTCAGAAAAAATATAAAAAAAAATCTTCTAATCACCAAACGAAATGTTACATAAAAAGAAGCCATCTGGTGGCGAAACGGAGTTCGCTGGGTTTGCTAGTATAATATATAATTTTTTCCTGTCAATTAAACATATCACTTCACAACCACATAATGTTTACCAACTTTATAATATAGCTGTAAGTGAAAATAGACTTTCATCATAATCATAATCATCATCATTAGCCTATTAATGTCCCCACTGCTGGGGCACAGGCCTTCCCTATGGATGGAATAGGGAGATTGGGCCATGACTCACCACGCAGGCCTAGTGCGGATTGGTGGGTGCTAACGACTGCAGATGCAACCGGGACCAACGGCTTAATCTGCCTTCTGAAGCACGGAGGAGCTTGAGATAGTAAATTTTTGGTCACCCATCCAATGACCGACCACTGCGAAAGTTGCTTAACTTAAACAATCGCAGCCGAACACGCTAACTAGTTGCGCCATCGAGCTCCTCAAAAATAGACTTTAATAGGCTGCAAACAGTACTGGGGTCAAAGCAATACTGGAATCTAGCTAGCTAATAATCTAGCTGTTAAATACTTAAATCAAAAATGTAAATGACATTTAATATTATAGGCAAGTGACAGTCGGAGATCAAGTAGGTGATGGGCCATGGAATGAAGAGTTACTGGATACAGATGGGCGTATTGCAGCACTGGTGGCCCACCTCGCCCAGCACTCCAGGACTTCACACCAACAGCACCCACAGCATATGAAGGTTCTCAGTCCAAAGCTCTTTAAACAAAACATCTTTAATCTTATTTGTTCGGAAATCTAAGGGCATGCGCCAGATTCCCTCCCGATTGATTAAGTAGTCGCATAGCAACACGCGTATCGAGTGGTCGGTCGAACTGCGCACGAGTAAGGTGCTCCCGGCTCGCGTCGTTTTGTTGCCTAATTAAATTAATACCTACTCAGGTGTCTTGGCAGCCTAGATAGGGCCCCCTGTTTATGAGTAGATGTTTGTGTGTTCCACTGTGTTTTGTGAGCAAGTGTTCCTTGGAGATTCAGGGCCTATTGACGGGCTTTGATCAGTTTCGACCTCGGGGGAGCGCTCCTCCCCTCGCTGCTGCTCAGGTGCTGTATGGGACACTTGCTAAGTGAGTTTTTTTTGTATTGTTAATAGGATTAGGTATTTCTAACGTGCGATTCTAGCTCCGCGTATCGCGGACGTAGGTGCTTACCCCGGTATTTGGTTTTGGCTAGGGTGACGAGCTTTCCACCCCCCAGAAACCGGCCGTACGACACATTATTATTTATGTTAAAAGACGGCAAACAAGCATATGGCCCGTCTGGTTATAGGCGGCCATAGCCTATAGATGTTAGCGATACCAAAAATATCCCTCGCTTCATTGCCTACCCTTTTCCATTCCTCTACCTTACTCACCAAAAGAAACACAACACAACCAAAAGATAGAGTTATATTACTTGTGGTCTTCTCTAAGGTGCAGGTTATTTCCCCAGACGGGCGCTCCAATTAGAGCAGAAGATCTGTTAAATAAAACTAGTTTTAACGGTTCAGGTGTGTCAGGTGTTCAGGTCTGAATATTCTGATGATGCAGACCTGAAAAGGCTGCGAAACGTCAATACATAAATAAAGTTTCGTGCATTAACCCGTTAAATCTAAATAAAACTAGTTTTTACGGGTTAATGCACGAAACTTTATTTATTTATTGACGTTTCGTAGCCTTTACAGGCTTAGTCGTCAGAATAAAACTTTTATTTAATTTGTCGAGCTACCTTCTAAAGACTTTTATTGAGTGTTTGGTTATTTCATTGTTCGATTTTTAAGTTTTATTGTCTATGTATGAATTTATTATTTAATTTACTTAATAAAACCCGTTAAAACTAGTTTTGTTTAATGAGTGATGTGCGTGAAAACTTAAGAAACAAATACAGAAGATCTGTTGTCCAATTTAATTAATATAAGATCTTATTTAATTTCTTTTTATTAACCTATCCTCCATAGTCTTTTTAGTTGGTTTGAGAGAATTAAATACACCCATATTTATTACTTTTATAGAAAAAACAAGTGATTATATTTGTATACCAAATGGGGCTTTTCATGGCAGTACAAAATTGCTCCTATGTAACTTTTAACCTGAGTATCACAAGTAAAGATTTGATTTAATTATCAGCCTATTAAAGTCTTTGCTGCTGGGGCACATAGGTCTACAGGCAAAATAGGGAAAATCTGCCATACTATAACATAACCTACCGGGGGGCCATTCGCCTAACGGAAATGCTATGGAAAACGCTAACGCTTTCGATTTCATTTTGTTATTTCTGACCGCCGAAGGTTTTCAAATACCTCACGCTCATTTTTTTTAATATTGTTATTACTAATGCAAAAGAAAAAAAAGAGCGCGAGGCATTTGTAAACCTCAGGCGGGTAGAAATAACAAAATGAAATCGTAAGCGTTAGCGTTTTCCAAAGCATTTCCGTTAGGCGAATGGCCCCCTGGTAGGTTATGTTATAGTATGGCAGATTTTCCCTATTTTGCCTGTAGACCTGTGTGCCCCAGCAGCAAAGACTTTAATAGGCTGATAATTAAATCAAATCTTTACTTGTGATACACAGGTTAAAAGTTACATAGGAGCTATTTTGTTAGACTGATTGGTTTAGTAGGTGCTAACAAGTGCAGATGCAGCCAGGATCAACTGCTTATCATGCTTTCCCAAACATAGAGCTACATGGAAATTTAAGGGAATCATTTCCTTGACACCTGTGTTAATTATGACCAACCCTTGGGAGAGTTTTATAACTTGCACATTGCAAAACAGAACGCTGAGTTCCTTAAAAAACTCAACCGCAAAAATATATTCTAATAGCTTTATTATTCTTTCAGGTGACTTCTGTAAGGGGAGATGTTGATACGTCTGTGATTTTGGATGCACCTATGAGACTGTTCAATGGGCAAACTTTGGTAAGTGAAAATTTACGGACTAAAGATTATACATAAATTTGTGAAATGTGAATGTACGTACCTTATACAATACAAATTGAAAAGCCTTTATTGCTGATAATAACATAAAAAACACATCACTAACATTTTTACTTATAATTCAGCGTGTCCTGCAGACACATAGGCCTCCTCCAGTCTTTTCCACCCCGATTTATCCCTTGCTAACCTCAGCCATACCCCTCTTATGTCATCCGACCATCGTTTCAGCTGTCGTCCACGTTTACGGTAAGTGTTCGTTCTGGGGATCCATACCGTGGTCCTCCTTGTCCACTTCCCTATTTCGTCTCTTGTGACGTGACCTTTCTTCCATTTGAGTTGTCTACTTTTTCGAACGTGAAGAAGCAACTTGCAGGCCGGCAGGGTGAGGATGGCTGGTGTGGCAGTTAGCTTAACTGCTGTATCAGCTATCTTCGCGTCTGGACTTCACCTTCACTTAACATCAGGTGGGGTGGAGTCATTTGTCGGATCTATCTATAAAAAAAAAAAAAAAAGACATCCTCAAGTTTAGTGAGTTTTCTGATGTCGGTAGCTCTCTTCTTGTCACTCCTTTTTTTATTATTAAATTTATTTTTATCACTTACTAGCGGGCGCCAGCGGCTTTCTACGCGTCTTAATTGGATACCTGTATGAAATTTTGATCCCTCCTTTTCACGGGGTGTTTTCTGGGATATAAACTATCTTATGTCTTTTCCCGAGACTCAGACTGTCTCTATACAAGTTTTCATCTAAATCTGTTTCGTGGGTGAAGCGTGAAGAGTTAACAGACAGACACACTTGTGCCTTAAAAAGTGATTTCTGGGATAAAAACTATCCTATGTCTTTTCTCGAGACTCAGACTGTCTTTATAAAAGTTTTCATCTAAATCTGTTTAGTGGGTTAAGCGTGAAGAGGTAACAGACAGACACACTTGCGCCTTAAAGAGTGATTTCTGGAATTAAAACTACCCTATGTCTTTTCCCGAGACTTGGACTGTCTTTATACAAGTTTTCATCTAAATCTGTTTAGTGGGTTAAGCGTGAAGAGGTAACAGACAGACACACTTGCGCCTTAAAGAGTGATTTCTGGAATTAAAACTACCCTATGTCTTTTCCCGAGACTTGGACTGTCTTTATACAAGTTTTCATCTAAATCTGTTTAGTGGGTTAAGCGTGAAGATGTAACAGACAGACACACTTGCCCATTAAAAAGTGATTTCTGGGATAAAAACTGCACAATTAGTGCACATTAAGGCCCGTATTATAGAAAGATTCCCAGTGATTGATCTAGTCTTGAGCATAGTTTGTGCTAAATAAACGTTTTTATTATTAAACTAGCGGCCCGCCCTCGCTTCGCTTCGGTGTAGAGCTGAAGTGTACACTATAGTTTTTTTTTCTCAGGCTTGTATTAAACACAATGACATTCATCTATGATTCTTCTTATACCTGCATGCGAAGTCTCAGCCCGATTGGTTTAAAATTGACAAAGTTTCATACAAACTTTCATTCCCTATTTTATCCCCTTGGGGATAGAATTGATCAAAATCCTTTCTTAGCGGATGCCTACGTCATAACATCTACCTGCATGCCAAATTTCAGCTCGATCCGTCCAGTGGTTTGGGCTGTGCGTTGATAGATCACTATGTCAGTCAGTCCCCTTTGACTTTTATATACATATATAGATAAAAACGGTAATTTTTATTACCTGTATTTATAATCAAACTAAAATTCTCATATTTACGTTATATAATCGGAATGCTCCGAACTGCTAAGCTATCAGGAGTTACACGTGTTATTGTGAGTCAACCATAAAAGATAGACATATGCTGTTGCGGGATATTTTTTAGATAATTTTATGTAGAATATTTCCGTCATACATAATTTCTATGTAACTTTAACCATTAAGGCTGCACACGCGAAGGAAGCTGAAAAAATGGAGTAACTTCTCCCGTTTTCCCAACATTTCCCTTCACTACTCTGCTCCTATTGATTGTAGCGTGATGAAAAGTATACTATAACCTGCCCAGGAGTATGAAGAATAATTGTACCAAGTTTCGTTTAGTAGTTTTTGTTTCTATAAGGAACATACACACAGACAGACAGACAGACAAAATTTTTACTGATTGCATTTTTGGCATCAGTATCGATCACTAATCACCCCCTGATAGTTATTTTGAAAATATATTTCATGTACAGAATTGACCTCTCTACAGATTTATTATAAGTATAGATTTTTGGTCACCCATGGAATGACCGACCACTGCGAAAGTTGCTTAACTTCAACGATTGTAGCCGAACGCGTTAATCATACATTTCCTTTATTATTATGTCTTCGTCTGGTCCAGGAACAGCCTCCCGACAGTGGTTTGGTAGAAGAGGTGGGACAATTACCTCCCCTACCACCGTTGCAGGAGATGAAGCGATGCCAGGGTGACTGGTTCAACAACAACACTAAGACTATACTCAAGGTTAGTGGCATTTTACACTGAAGGATTTGCGCCATAAAGATTAAAATTTTTTAGGTTAGAGGTCGCCCGCGACTTCGTCTGCGTTAACTTAGTTTCTTGAAAATCCCTCTGGACCATAACATTTTTTCGGGATAAAAGTAGGCTATGTGTTAATCTAGGGAGTCGGCTAACTCCATATCAAATTTTATTAAAATCGCTCCAGCCGTTTAGACGTGAAGAAGTTACAAACATACACACTCACATACTCACACACTCACAAACTTTTGCCTTTATAATATTAGTGTGATTTCTTTATTGCAAAAAATATGGTACAATGAGATGACATGTACAAAACAGATTCTACATATCTCTTATCTAATAGACAAATCCGTCCGTCCGTCCGTGGTGCTGTTTCAGCGGCCAAACCGTAAGAGATAGATATAGAGAATGTTTAAGTTATAAGTTAAGAATAGTCTGATAAGACTACAAACCGGATGTGAGTAACGTAGCACTTCCGGTTTTCGAGAAATCACGTGATTTCTATTTCAAACGAAACCACACAAAATCTCCGAAGTTCTCAATTAATTAAATACATTTTTTTTTGGTGAACATTTGGTTCACTGGTTTGCTAGTTTTACCTTAAATGGCATGCAATGTATGCAAAATACGAATCATCTATCCATCCATCAGCCTTTCTCCGTCCACTGCTGGACATAGGCCTCCCCCATAGATAGAAAAAAAAAGAAAAAAACGAATAGCCCCCCCCCCCCCCCCCCCCATAGAAAAGACGAATCATCATCATCAGCCTATTAATGTCCCCACTGCTGGGGCACAGGCCTTCCCTATGGATGGATAAGGGAGATTGGGTCATGACCCACCACGCGGGCCCAGTGCGGATTGGTGGGTGCTAACGACTGCAGATGCAGCCGGGACCAACGGCTTAACGTGCTTTCCGAAGCACGGAGGAGCTCGAGATAGTAAATTTTTGGTCACCCATCCAATGACCGACCATTGCGAAAGTTGCTTAACTGCAACGATCGCAGTCGAACACACTAACCACTTGCGCCATCGAGCTCCTCGAAAAGACGAATAGTTAAATTAAATTAAGAGACTTTACTATACAATTATAAAAACCTAAAACACAAAATTTTTCAAGTAATGAAGCAAACTTTTTTTAAGAAGAAAATAGCGCGCAATTAATTCCATGTGGCGCCACGTGCTAGCAATGAAAATTGGAATTCCATCTTTCGTCCCTTTTCCTCTTTATTATTAAAGTGAGCCAAAGGTATAGATTCAAAGCGCTTCCAAGAGGTTCGATGGAAATTAAAAAAAAAAACGTAAAGAATACGCACGGTGCCATGTATGGAAGCGTACGGTAAAAAGTTTTACCGCACGCTCCGTTGTATGGCCCGTAATGTTGAAATTGCGAACAATGAAGTAAAACCTCCGTAAATGCATTTTTTGAGCAAATGTGTTGAATATTCAATCAGAAATCAATATATCTTTATTCAAATTGGATGTATAGTACAACACTTTTGAATCGTCCAAACATTTTTTTTCCCTACCACTCGTTATTGGACATATTTTTTAGCTGCGGAGAAAAACGAGCGAAAAAAATAAAAATGGTTGCCTGTAAAGTCGGTTTTACGGGCGAAGATTTTACGTGACAACGTCTTTTTCTCGGTAGAATATTTATTGATATGAATATAATTAAATTGCACAATAGGAACAAGGAATTGAATGAAAATAAGAATTGCACAAATTTTAACTATAGAAATATATTTTGTTTACTAAAACATTGTACATGTAAACTTAAACTTAACACGAGAGACTCATCGTAACGTTACCGAGCGTTACACTTTTTCATAAGTGACTCCCAGCCGCAACCTAATTTAAGACGTTGTCACGTCAAAACTCCACAACATTAAAAGCATAATGTAACAACATTTACAAATCATTATGTTGTTACAACGTCAATACAATCATGATTTATTTAATATAGAAAACCTGGTTGGAATGATATGACTATTGTTTCCCAGGATGACGCCCAAATATTAACGGATTCGGACGGGCCGGTATTGGAGCTGAGCGCAGGCGCCTCCCCTGCTCAGAGCAAGCAGAGCAAGAAGAGTCTACCTCACAAGAAGAGGATATCGAGGAAGCTGAAGAGGAACACGGGGAATAGCACTCCTCAGCAGGTAAAATCAAAATCTAATAGTAGATTATTAACAAATCTAGTGCCTATTTTGCGTGGGGATTGGCTTCAGTCCTGCCATCCCAGCTTCTCCAGAAAGCTCAGCAGTCCCCGAATGTTACTGCAGGCCTCTACTATAGTCTTCGGGCTTCCCATTAGAGAAGTCCTTTGTCTTGCAACACCCCTGCACTCCAGCATCACAGGTTTTTTTTTTTTTTTTTTTTCATCGAGTGCGGTTGGCGTCTTATTTTAATTATTCTTAAATTCGTTCATAGTGGATATTGTGAAATAAAATTGGTGTGGTTTTGTGTAACAACTGTCTGCGTAACTGAAGAATTAGTGGAATCATTAAAATATACGCTATTCCGGTCGAGTGGACGTGAGAATTTTATTGTAGTGTTGACTACCTCACAGAAGCTTATCGAAAAAGCCAACTCGATACATTTCGTGCCAAACACTCCAAGAAACATTAGATTATATTAAAAAGTAAAAAGAAAAACAGAATAATTTAACTTAAGACTAGGCTGTATGGGCATTGTTCCCTTTGCCTTCCCTGAAAAGGGAGAACGTAACCAAAAAAAAAAAACCAGCATCACATGAGCGCTCGTCTCATCCTCCTCCAGGCAGGCTCTGCACAGAGGGCTGTCAGAAATACCTATATTACAAAGGTGTTTGTTGAAATAGCCGTGACCCGTGAGTGACCCACAACCAAGGGGATAAAGCAGTGTCTTCTGTCGCGGGTGACGATTTAAATCGCGAGCGTAACGAAGGACTCGAGGTTTACTCCCGAGCGTAGCGACGGTGTTAAAAACACACTGTTATGTTTTTGCAACTATTGAATATTGAGCTCGTTTTTCTCATATGAGACTTTTTATGGTATTTATTTGTAAAAAAATGGTTTTAATTTATTCTTTTGTTATACTACGGACTTAGTAAGAACGGCATTTATTGATCTATTTCTGGTAAGATGTAAGACTACACAATAATTGATGTCTAGAATTTTTAAAGTTAACATTAAAGTTTACACTATATATTACCTAATGGGATTTAAGTCCCTCCGTCTAGTCAGAGTCAGTAAAAAAATCTCTACCATCATTCATGTTAGAAAAGCCTTGAAATTAGTGAATCCTTTGCGTGCTAAACTAAAACTTTGGAGAGCTATTTGTTGGAGCTTATATTTTGTTCAACCAATTACGAATTTTTAATAAAATATCACTTAAACTACCCAGAAAATATATTTAACACTTTTTAATTTCCTACACAAGAAACATAGCTTCAACAAACACAATACAATGAATGCGTTTTTATTCTTGATTGATTGCTGCATAGAAAACCTTCTTATGTTCTATCACGAGCGAAGCGAGGGATTTAAGACGAGTCCTGAGTGAAGTAAGGGATTTAAATTCACCCAAGACTAAGACAGCTTTATCACCGAGGATAATACTCTACTTTTCGTACCATTTGCGAAAAAATTAACACAATAATAATATGAGATAAGCATTTATTAAAAATAATGACAATTAAAAGTAAAAGTTAACATTCGAAACATTGGTCGGTTTTCGTAATTTTATTTTAATGCACAATGAATGCGTATTACTTTTTCAATAAGATGTATAATGCTTTATATACAAACTCAATGGTGTAAACACAGACGTAGTTCAGTATAAAGGACACCCGGCATTTTGTGCCAAAGTTGTATACTTTTTTAATTTTTTTTATCTGTGTTTCATAATTGGGTAACGTAGTCTGGCAATATTTGTCATCAGCAGCTAGCTGTCAATGTCGAATACGTAGGTTTGTCATCAAAAGGGTTTCTATATCAAAAAATATTAATCATTAAATAACTTCTTTCCACGATTCACTAAAAATAAGGCAAAAGTAGTTTTAAGTAGCAAATAATTTTGGCTTTATTTTGAGACCAAATTCCACTGTATACAAGTTGAGCATTTTTTCTATGAAAAGTGCCGGGTCTCCTTTCGGTAAGAATTTCAAATTTAAATCACATTCTCCCCCTAGAGGATGAATGAAATTCAGTACAATTTTCTTTCCCTGTTTTTAATAGATTAAAAATGACTATTGTTATGTTCGCTTTTTGTGGCATAGAATGTCACTTTTTTGAGCAAGTGGTACGAAAAATCATTTATTCAGTCTAGGCTTGTTCCAAGCTCTTGTGACGGTTAAGAAGCTATGTCATCGGTTCGCTAATCTACGACGGGAGATCTTGTACTGAGAAGAACCGGCAAGAAATTCAGCGAGGGCTGTTTTTTTCTCCCTGTATTATTTTATACAGAGTCGTCAAGTTGTTAAAGGACTTCAGAGATATAACTGAAGTCACCTTCTATTACATAATTTAATTTACTTAATTTCAGTAGGTAGAGGATGTTGATACGATGAAATCACTAATAATGGGGGGAACTCTGCCTATAGGGTATTTGACAAGTTTAAGAAAACGATCACACGATTTTTCCTAATGTTTATGGAGTCCAAATAAAATGGATATTTTTAATTCTGTTGTGAAATTCAGTAGAAAAACTAAATTAAAAATTCAGTTTTCAACTTGCTGCGAAAATGTTTCTATGAACACTATGGCGTCTAACTAGTATGTGACGTCACACGACTGTCATTAAAACGTTAAACGATATAATATAATGTCACTGTGGCCCGAAGTTTACTAGCGTGTGACGTCATTTTAGTCTTGGCCAATCCCAGGTGTTTTCGTTTCGCGTGATTATGGAGCAAAAACATCATTTCTATTTAATGATTTTACAGAAAAGGTAATAACCTGAGTAGGACCGACAAGAAACACAGCAAGGGCTGTTTTTTTCTCCATGTATTATGTACAGAGTCGCCAAATTGAAAAATTGTCTTCAATATGAGATAACTCATGAAGTCACTTTATTAAAGGTTGAGATGCAGAATCGCTCCAAATCAAGCCATTCAGTATCCTAGTATGAAACTATTTTGCAATGCACACTAGTCAGCAATGTAACGGATAATGATCAGGGCTCATAATAAAGGCAACCTAGGTTGATAGGTTGCAGCGGCGCGCTGTCCGCATCATTGGCGATGAAGAGTCTCTACAATTACGCCGCGATGTGGCATCATTAAGCGTATTCTACCGACTATACCACGGCGAGTGTTCTGAGGAGTTATTCTCCCTTATCCCTCCATCACCTTTTCTTCAGCGGACCACGCGCGCTGGCCTACGTTGCCACCGACTTACTGTGGCCACTATTCCTACACGAACAAAGAAATTTGGTGACTCATTTCTTTGTCGTACTATTCGTAAGTGGAATTCTTTACCCGCGCAAGTGTTCCCTCCTTACTATAATCTGGGGTCCTTTAAGAGAGGCGTGAAGAAGCATTTTTGCAGGCCGGCAAGGTGAGGATGATTGGTGTAGCAGTTTATAACTGCTGTACCAGCTATCGTCGCGTTTGGACTTTATTACCACTTAACATCAGGTCATCAGGTGGGGTAGAGTCATTTGCCTACCATAATATATAAAAAAAAACCGCACCCTTAACAACTCTTGCGCATACTGTTTATGCAAAATTATTTTTTTTGAAAAATATGTTTCCGAAAAACTAAATTACTAAGTTGCTGCCATATGCAAAATTGTTAAACCTGACCGGTGCTGGTGTACCAAGTTTCTATCTGAATCGTCAAGAATTGTGAAGAATTCCTAACTACGATATGCCTACTTAAAACCTTAAAGCTTTTACCTTTAAAGATTGTAACTACCTGAGATCACAGGTCAGAACAATGTTCTTATGCTGTGTTTTTTTATTATATAGGGTATAGTGGTGATCAACTGCTCTGAGGAAGTGCAACAAGAAGAGATATTACCAGATAACTTTGTTGCTGCCGTGCAGCATCAACAACATTTACCTGATGAGAATCATCATATAACGCACGAGGTGAGCGGTTTTAGTTATATCGAATTTTAAATTAATATTATAAATGCGAAAGTATAAATCTATACTTATAATAAATCTGTAGAGATGTCAATTCTGTACATGAAATATATTTATAAAATAACTATCAGGGGGTGATTAGTGATCGATTATGATGCCAAAAATGCAATCAGTAAAATTTTTGTCTGTCTGTCTGTCTGTCTGTGTGTATGTTCCTTATAGAAACAAAAACTACTCAACGGTTTTTAACGAAACTTGGTACAATTATTCTTCATACTCCTGGGCAGGTTATAGTATACTTTTCATCACGCTACAATCAATAACAGCAGAGTAGTGAAGGGAAATGTTGGGAAAACGGGAGAAGTTACTCCATTTTATAAGCTTCCGTCGCGGGTGCAGCCTTAATGGTTAAAGTTACATAGAAATTATGTATGACGGAAATATTCTACATAAAATTGTCTAAAAAATATCCCGCAACAGCACATGTCTATCTTTTATGGTTGACTCACAATTACACGTGTAATTATATAATTAAAGTCATTAGTCATTCATAGCACAAGCCTGAGAACAAAAACTATAGTTTACACTACAGCTCTACACCGAAGCGAAGAGAGGGCGGGCCGCTAGTAAATAATATAAATATTTATTTTTGACGACCTCCGTGGCCCAGTGGTTTGTATGCCGGGTTTCGTGTTAACCAATGGGACTTATTTTATATAAAACAGATAAAAATAATAATCTGAGGCCCAGTCACGAACTATGACAGCGCATCGACAAAGTTTCAATGAAAAATAAGCAACGCCCCCTTCCGGGCGTAAGAAGAAACTGGTTCCTTCCATACAAAATTTGACGATGAAGATACGATTACGAATCTGACAAGGTTCCTGCTTGAGCCTCTGATAAGGACTAAGACCGTTTTTGTATTAATATAAATTACATAAAGAAAATATAACTAGAAGAAATTCCACGCGGACCAGGCAGCAGACGGGACTGGAACCCGCACCCTTCGCAAACCGGGCGAATGCACTTTCCAATTATGCTACCGCGGCACTCTTTTAGCCATTCTTAAGCTGCAAGGCAGCGCCATCTCTTCGCATTATAGGTAACCCACAATGTCAAATGAATACTTTTTCAAGTATGCATTTGACATTGTGGGTTTGCAGCTTAAGAATGGCTAGAAGAATTTCGACGCAGTCCGTGAGGGCCGCGGTAGCATAATTGGTCAGTGCATTCGCCCGGATTGCGAAGGGTTCGAGTTCCGTCTGCTGCCTGGTCCGCGTGGATTTTTGACGTGACAACGTCTTAAATTAGGTTGCGGCTGGGAGTCACTTATGAAAAAGTGTAACGCTCGGTAACGTTACGATGAGTCTCTCGTGTTAAGTTTAAGTTTACATCTACAATGTTTTAGTAAACAAAATATATTTCTATAGTTAAAATTTGTGCAATTCTTATTTTCATTCAATTCCTTGTTCCTATTGTGCAATTTAATTATATTCATATCAATAAATATTCTACCGAGAAAAAGACGTTGTCACGTAAAATCTTCGCCCGTAAAACCGACTTTACAGGCAACCATTTTTTTTTCTAGTTATATTTTCTTTAGATTTAAACATCAAGCAGTTACATGCTTTAAAATAATAAAAATTATAACTATAAATTACATAATTAAAAAAATAAAAACCTCCAATCTTAGGTGCGGCCGATCTACATCTGTCAACTGTGCGGCGAGTTTTACGGCGACGAACAACTGAAGTTCTACCACCACCTCAAACAACACTACGAACCTCACAACACTATTATCATAGAGAACCCGGTCACCGATCTAAATATAGACAAGGTAATCTCACACTTAATGTATAGAGATTAGGGCCTAATTTACAATAACTGACTTAAGTTCTACCACCACCTAAAACAACACTACGAACCTCACAACACCATTATCATAGAGAACCCGGTCACCGATCTCAATATAGACAAGGTAATCTCACACTTATTGTATAGAGATTAGGGCCTAATTTACAATAACTGACTTAAGTTCTACCACCACCTAAAACAACACTACGAAAGTCACAACACCATTATCATAGAGAACCCGGTCACCGATCTCAATATAGACAAGGTAATCTCACACTTACTGTATGGTAGCGGTGGCTCGTTCTCAAATTTTCTGACGACGAAACGCAACCGTTTTTTCTTAAACGAAAACTAGTCCTCGAAACGGTTCTCGTTCGCAACTGGTTTTGGTTGCGGCCGGGCGACGCAACGAAACGACACGCGACGGTCGAACGAATGTAACGCAACGAAACTGAACTAAATGAAATCTTGTTAGCGTTCGTTTCATTGCTGCGAACGAGATGACGAAACATCGAAATGTATATTGTGTTATACGATAATCGACTTTAAATGTTCAATAATAAAGATTATATTATTGTAAAATCAAAGATTAATTATCATAGAACGAAACGGCCTCATATCATTGCGTTCTATTATAGACTGTATTTACTTCATCATAAAGTACATATTGGCGTGCAGACAATCCGAGGACTAGTTGTTCGACGAAGACTGTTTTGATCCGAAACGTAAAACGGTTCTATCGTCGCGGAACACAAAACGGTCCTTGAAACCGGTTCGTCTTTAGAACGCTCACACCTACTGTATAGAGATTAGGGCCTAATTTACAATAACTGACTGAAGTTCTGCCACCACCTAAAACTACACTACGAAACTCACAACAGCATTAGCATAGACAACCCGGTCACCGATCTCAATATAGACAAGGTAATCTCACACTTATTGTTTAAAGATTAAGGTTTAATTTACAATAACTGACTGAAGTTCTACCACCACCTCAAACAACACTACGAACCTCACAACACTATTATCATAGAGAACCCGGTCACCGATCTCAATATAGACAAGGTAATCTCACACTTATTGTTTAGAGATTAGGGCCTAATTTACAATAACTGACTTAAGTTCTACCACCACCTCACACAAGACTACGAACCTCACAACACTATTATCATAGAGAACCCGGTCACCGATCTCAATATAGACAAGGTAATCTCACACTTATTGTTTAGAGATTAGGGCCTAATTTACAATAACTGACTTAAGTTCTACCACCACCTAAAACAACACTACGAAACTTGCAACAGCATTAGCATAGACAACCCGGTCACCGATCTCAATATAGACAAGGTAATCTCACACTTAATGTATAGAGATTAGGGCCTAATTTACAATAACTGACTGAAGTTCTACCACCACCTCACACAAGACTACGAACCTCACAACACTATTATCATAGAGAACCCGGTCACCGATCTCAATATAGACAAGGTAATCTCACACTTATTGTATAGAGATTAGGGCCTAATTTACAATAACTGACTTAAGTTCTACCACCACCTAAAACAACACTACGTAAATCACAACAGCATTAGCATAGACAACCCGGTCACCGATCTCAATATAGACAAGGTAATCTCACAGTTATTGTTTAAAGATTAAGGTTTAATTTACAATAACTGACTGAAGTTCTACCATCACCTCACACAAGACTACGAACCTCACAACACCATTATCATAGAGAATCCGGTCACCGATCTCAATATAGACAAGGTAATCTCACACTTATTGTACAGAAATTAGGGTTGAATTTACAGTAACTGACTGAAGTTCTGCCACCACCTAAAACAACACTGAGAAAATTGCAACAGCATTAGCATAGACAACCCGGTCACCGATCTCAATAAAGACGAGGTAATCTCACACTTATTGTATTGAGATAAGGGTCTGATTTACAATAACTGACTGAAGTTCTACCACCATCTCAAACAACACTATGAACCTCACAACTGCATTAGCATAGACAACCCGGTCACCGATCTCAATAAAGACGAGGTAATTTGACACTTATTGTTTAAAGATTAAGGTTTAATTTACAGTAACTGACTAAAGTTCTACCACCACCTCATACAACACTACGAACCTCACAACACCATTATCATAGACAACCCGGTCACCGATTTTAATAAAGACGAGGTAATCTCACACTTATTCCTTAAAGATTAGGGTCTAATTTACAGTAACTGAATGAAGTTCTATCACCACCTCAAATAACTACGTATCTAAATATAGACAAGGTAATCTCACACTTATTGTAATGGGATTGAGGTTTTATTTGCAGTTACTTGTTTTGTTTGGTACCGTAAATGATTTTTCAACTAAGTATGAGTGTTAAGTTTTAATCGCTACGGAACAAAGGTAGTGTCAATCTCAATTTATGTACCAATTTGACCTGTAGGAAGATTTTGCCGTTGGGAATTTTACATCAATAAGCGCTTTGAACGTGATGTTAAGAGCCCTTTCACATTTTTTGCAAAAAATCGTAATTTTTGAGCGCCTCGTTTACCCGCTTAGTAAAGATTTTGACTATTACCAATAGAAGTAAACAGTAGATTTATTCTTCCTATTGTACGTTAATGTAGAATATTTGCAAATAATATTTTCCTTTTTTTGTACTGATCGTTCTACTGCAGCTAGTTTACGGAAAAAAACAATAATATGCACAACATCAAACGCCTCAATCTCTCAATAATGTTCAATAAATTGTTCGAATTAATTACTACGACATTAGAAATATGTTTTTGTTGTAACATATTATATAAATATTAGAATTTTGATTTTCCGTCTCATTAATTATCAAAAAAAAATATCTAACCCCCGTGAGTTTTCCCAAAAAATAATGCAGGTCTACCTCGTATTTTGATATTGAATTAAATAGAATTACTATCAAAAACTTTCATAAAACTAATTCACCATCATTGAACTACTGAACTATGTATATATTTTTATAATTAGTTCATTAATAATTATTTTATAAGACTCGAAACATCACCCGTAAAATGCAATATACACTAGTGCAAATCTACCTGCGCGCCGATCAGTACGGCAGCGGCGCAATTTTGTAAAAGGGCTCTTAACAATTTGCAATTTATGTTCTTGAGACTATTTTAGTAAACTGGATGTGGTTTTAAATGGTTGAAATTTAGCCTTTAGAGACACTTATATTAATCTTAATGTTAAATGAAACTTGTAAATTTTCTTTGTCTCACATTTCTGGTAGCTCTCTCTGTCACTCACAAATTGATAAGAACCGGCTTTTGGTATCGTCTGAAGGTGCTTGAGGCAAAAGTGTTTTTTTTTTAATAAATATTTCTGACACACACCAATTAGCCTAGCCCCAAAATAACTACAAGGCTTGTGTTATGGGATGCTAGGGTAACGGATAGAATACATATACTGTACATATATAAGTATATTTATATAAATACATATTAAACATCCATGACTGGAGTACAAATGCTCGTATTCATCACACAAACATCTGCCCCCACCGGGATTCGAACCCGGGACCTCTCGAGTCGGCGACAGCCATGAAACCCGGCGTACAAACCACTCGGCCACGGAGGTCGTTTAAAAGCCTTATCACTCTAATCGTAATATTTTCCTATTCCCAACAGATGGCCAGTACTTGTATAGTAGACAACGTGGCGACCTTACCAGACTCTATAGTAGAATTATCCCTAGAGAACACAGTGCCAAAGACAATGTACCAGCCCATAGACAAACATATCCTGTACACCTCCAGCGAAAAGACACTCAATTACGCCAACAATAAGGTGCAATATTCCATGGCGAGTATAGAGAAAGAGGCTGTGCCGAATCCAGAGGCGGACAAAGGTGATCTGTACGAGACTTTGGAAAAACTAGAACTATATAGTTGTGTGAAGTGTAATAAGTCATTTAGGAAACAAAAACAGTGCGAGATGCATATCAAAGAAGTACACGGGAATGCTAAGGTAAGTGAATATCAATTAGCCATAAGAAATAATGAAAATAACTACAATGCAAAGAGATGGCGCTGCCTTGCAGCCTAAGAAATGCTACAGAATGGTCAGTGTTTTCGCACGGATATCGAAGGGTGCGGGTTCGAGTCCCGTCTGCTGCCTGGTCCGCGTGGATTTTTTCTAGGAAAATTTTCTTTAGATTTAAGCATCTAGCAGTTAGATGCTTCAAAAAATATAAGAAAGAAATTGTTTTATACATTGACACAAATAATACATGAAACATTGCACTTATACTTAAATACAATACTCAGCATGTGTCGGTTGTCAAAGACTGTCCGATGCTGGGGGCCAATCGCCTAACTGGATTGCTTTGGAAAACGCTATCGCTTACGATTTCATTTTGTTATTTCTAACCGCCGAAATACCTCACGCTCATTTTCTTTAACATTGTTATTACCAATGCAAAAGAAAAAAAAAGAGCGCGAGGCATTTGAAAACCTCAGGGGGCTAGAAATAACAAAATGAAATCGTAAGCGATAGCGTTTTCCAAAGCAATCCAGTTAGGCGATTGGCCCCCTGGTCTTCCGTGGTTACCTTAGAAAGTAGGGATATAATTAAATTTAACAGATACTAGGAAAAAAGTATGAAGTGTCATATCTTGGTTCTAAAATCAACTCGGTCAAAGTTTCAGGAGGATTTTTTGTATTTTTTTATTTTCGTTTTGTAAATCGAGCAGATATATAGACATAAAAAATATCAGATAATAGGAATTGATGACTAAAATTGTACATTATACGTTATATATAACGATGACACAATGTAAAACAGAATAGCAATAGAAACGACACAGCGGTTTTATCGTGTCGGAACTTCGGTTTTCTGTAATTATAGCAAATATCTTTTAAAATTACGTTTAAAAGTACAATAGTTTTCGAAATGATATTTCATTACTGTAATTGGAAGCCAATTAGAGTTTTAACTTTTAAAATTGGCTCTGATTGTATTTCTTCATATTTATCATCAATCAATAAATTTTTGTAAGCCCCCACTTTCTCCTCGCAGCTTTAGTAGAAAAATATGTTCAGCATTTTAGGCATGAAAATAGGATCCATGTTTCATATTTTTCTGTTGTATATGAACTATCCCTGTGTTTTTCCCTTTTTTTCGATAAATTTTATCTCCGATGTTACACGCTGCGCAATTCCAAACATTAGAAACTAAACCCAGATGTTATAGTAATATAAGTTATTTACGGGATTGTTACCATGTACTTTGTTTATAGCAAGTTTATTTGTATAGTATCGAACGCAATTAAAGACTTCGTCGGAGGGTAGACCGATATGTCTGCCAATAACAGCCTACCCGCAATTACTTCAGTTACTCCGTGATCATGGCGCTTGCAACAGTGCCGAAATATCGGAAACTCGCTAAAAACAAGGTACATGGTAACAATCCCGTAAATAACTTATATTACTTTAATGTTAGTGACCATGAAAGTTTAAAACAATAAACCCAGATGTCAGACAAACCGACTGACACTTTAATTTCACATGAACATCTGTCACTGTAACCGACGTCTGACAACGGTTAACTGCATTAGAAATTATAAATAAAGGATATGAAAATATGTATACACAGCCATATAAGCATTAATCAAAGACCTAACCAAACACCAACTAAATTAAGTTATCGTCAATCAACAGCTAGAAGACATAAACGAGTTCAGCGAGCCGGAAGACCTGATGGAAGGCATCCACGTGGCGGTGGAAGATGGCGGTGAACACTACGAGCAACCTTTACTGCCTCATCTTACTGTAGACAGTGGCCATGTTCATCAGGACCACGTGAGGCATTGGTGAGTGTGCCGCAAGGATCAGTACTGGGGCCCCTTGTATATTATGTATTGATATGTGATTATACCGCAGGGATCACTGCCTCATCTTACTGTAGACAGTGGCCATGTTCATCAGGACCACGTGAGGCATTGGTGAGTGTGCCGCAAGGATCAGTACTGGAGCCCCTGTTATATTATGTATTGATATGTGATTATACCGCAGGGATCACTGCTCGAGCCTCTGTTATATAATGCAATGAAAACTGGTGGGTATAACGCAGGGATTACTGCTCGGGCCTAAGTTGAAAGGGGATGGTTCAAAAGTGGTAGTAGGTTTTCGACAGCGACGAAACTTCTATCATTTGAAAGCTTGTTTTATATTATAACATGAACAGATACGTCATATTTTTAGTGTGTGGCAGCTTATAACATCAACGCAATCAATATGGCAAATGTCAATCAGTCCAGTCATGCATGATATGAAATTGTGGTCAACTTATTATACCAATTTATGATTGCTTCTTCTTGAAATAAAATACCTAATAATGCAATGTCGATATAAGAAGTCGGAAGGGAACGAATAGATGTTAGTTTAATCGAGTAATTCGTTAACCTGAGGTTTATTATATTGATGTTAGGTTGGTCTAAAATTTGTTATAAACGGGTAAAAAATTGTTTCCTGTCGCGACATAACTCACATACTATGGGATTAAGGGTTATACATCGGTGAAAACGTTATATAAAGGTTTTTAAGGTTGACAAAATTCGTTAATTAAAGGCATTTAAACTTTTTTTAATTTGTTATTAAGAGTTTGATCGCAAAATGTCGCAATATAAAGGTTATATTCTACATTGACCCTTCAAGGGGATCACGAAGAATTAGTTCAACCGAGAAATTTTTTATATTGAGGTGTATGAAATGCATTATTTGTCATAAAAACTATCTTAATATATATAAATCTCGTGTCACAATGTTTGTCCTCAATGGACTCCTAAACCACTTAACCGATTATAATAAAATTCGCACACCATGTGCAGTTCGATCCAACTTGAGAGATAGGATAGTTTAAATCTCAAATTATAGTCGCAATATTATTTTATTGCAAATTTGAATTTTCGGGCGGTACGAAGTTCGCCGAGTCAGCTAGTATTATTATATAAAAATTTGGAGTCTGCCGCAGACTAACTACCCTCAATACAAATTTGAACCGTGTCCTTTCTTAATCAGAAATCAATATATCTTTATTCAAATTGGATGTATAGTACAACTCTTTTGAATCGTTCTAACATTTTTTTCTTCCCTACTACTCGTTATTGAACATATTTTTCAGCTGTGGATAAAAACGAGTGAAAAAATCTCCACAACATTAAAAGTATAATGTTACAACATTTACAAATCATTATGTTGTTACAACGTCAATACAATCATGATTTATTTAATATAGAAAACCTGTTGGAATGATTGGAACAGTTCAAACCCAAGCATATTTGTTTGTAATATAATCAGAAAGTGCTTTTTTATAATTTTTTAGAATTTATTTATGGTTAACTCTTGGATATTGCTTGGGACTTTATTGTATAAGCGAACACAAAGACCTTTATATGAATTATTGATTTTGTGAAGCCTAGTAGCAGGTAAAGTTAGTTTATTTTTTTCTTGTATTAAGTGTGTGAACATCAGCGTTTTTAAGAAACAAATTAATATTTTTTCTTACAAGTTCTTACAAATAAAATATTCAATTCAATTTATTGCACTCATGTGGTTTCATCGATGGTTACAAAATGCTTATAGTACCTAACATGAACCCTGTCAGGGTATCGCAATATACAGTACAGTTAAAGATAAAAATTACAAAAGAATTTAATTAATAAACAATTACGAATATAAGGAACCTAATTTGTATTAAATCACTTATATCTCAAATTATGCATAAATGTCATCTGATTCCATTAGTTTAACAATATAACTTACTCAATCGATCTTATTAACAGTAGAAATAGAATAGAAATGGAAATTCATTTATAAAATTAAATTAAATTTAAAATAAATAAAATGAAAGTTGTATTGTCCTACACATACATTGTTTTGTTTATGTTGAATGTATTTCTGTGCCCCAGGTACATGCGCAACGGTAATAGCGCCGCGTGCCCCGGCGGTGGGGCATGCGGGGCTGGTGGGGCGTGCGGGTCGGGCGGCGCCTACTGCCCCGTGTGCCCGCCGCGACCCACTGAACCTCCGCTCAAGGGTAGGTAAAAATGCTAAAACGAACTACATAGTTTTCTTTTATAGAGGACTTTGACGACCTCCGTGGCCGAGTGGTTTGTACGCCAGGTTTTATGGTGACGCCGACTCGAGAGGTCCCGGCTTCGAATCCCGGTGGGGGCAGATGTTTGTGTGATGAATACGAGCATTTGTACTCCAGTCATGGATGTTTAATATGTATTTTCTATATAAATATACTTATATATGTAAAGTATATGTATTATATCCGTTACCCTAGCATCCCATAACACAAGCCTTACAGTGTTTACTTTGGGGCTAGGCTAATTGGTGTGTGTTGGAAATATTTATAAAAATAAAAAAAAGGAAGCGGCATTAGATAGGGACCATATTACTGTTACAAAAACTGACTAATACCCATCAAATAACAAATTACAAGAAACACTATGTCAATGCATTACGATCTTTTATATTTCATCATCATTAACTTAACACTACTTCCGCTCTTTCACAGAGGAAGTCCTCCAGAGGATATTCGAGACGGAAGTCTCGAATGGCGAGACCAACTTCTCTGAAAACATAATTCCGGATAACCCGGAGGTGCCGGAACAACCGCCTTCACCGCCGGAAAAGAAGCCAGTGATTGAGAAGAAACCCAAGCGGTTCGAGTGCCAGCATTGTTCTAGAGTGTTCCAGCATAGAAATAGTCTGATGTACCACGTGCTGTCTCATAGTGATAAACAACAGAAGTGTCAGTGCGGAAAGAGCTTCTACACTGTAGCAGCTTTGAAGGTAAGTTGTTTTCAAGCGGTTTTGAACTTTAAAGCTATAATAATAGTTTTTATTTTTCAACATTTAACTGCTTGATGTTTAAATCTAAAGAAAATATTACTAGAAAAAAATCCACGAGGACCAGGCAGCAGACGGGACTCGAACCCGCTAACTACCCTTAGCTAACCGGGCGAATGCACTCACCATTATGCTACTGCGGCCCTGATGGCCGTGTCGAATTCTTTCTAGCCTTTCTTAAGCTGCAAAGCAGCGCCATTTCTTCGCATTGTAGGTAACCCATAATGTCAAATTAATACTTTTATAAGTATTGAACATTTGATAGAAGAAATAGCAATTATAGTTATAATTTTAATTTATTACAATGCGAAAAGATGGCGCTGCCTTGCAGCTTAAGAATGGCTAGAAGAATTTCGACGTGGCCATCAGGGCCGCAGTAGCATAATGGGTCATTGTATTCGCCCGGATAACGAATTGGTGCGGGTTCGAGTCCCGTCTGCTACCTGGTCCGCGTGGAAGTTTTTCTAGTTATATTTTCTTTAGATTTAAAACATGAAGCAGTTACATGTTAAAAAAATAAAAGTTAATAGATGATTTGATTTGATAATTGATGATAACGCCCCAGAAGAGAAAAAGCGAAAATGCAGCCTAATACCTGTACAAACTAATTTGTCTCTTTAACACTTATCTGGCCGGATTTACTTTGAAAGCAACTCTCAGTTCATTTTTATAGTTGTTATAGTGTGACTAATTGTTTTCAGGCAATATTGATAAATATACACGGTGTTTCAAGAATACACCTAAAGCGAAAAGGGCGTTAGAAGGTCCCATATATAGAGCTCATTGCATTTCATTTTATTTTTTTATTAACAATAATTAAAGTTCGGCAAATAATAATATTAAGCTACGGTTGTCATATATTGGCAATGAGCTCTATACAAGGTGTGACAAAAGTCCGAAATAAAACTTTAGGGTTTGGTTGTGTTCCTTGTATAGAATTACCTACGAAAGTTTTACGCCTTTCAGACCACTTTTATTTTCTAATTAAATTATTAAAAATATCGTTTTACACTTGCCTATGACAACCTACTACCTAAACAGACCCCCCTCTCTCCCCCGGGAGCCCCTGCGCACCGCTCAGATACCTACAAATTTTTATTTCGGAATACACACCTACAAATTTTATTTCGGAATTCTGTAACAGCCTGTATAAGGGACCTTCTAATAGCCTTTTCGCTTTAGGGGTATTTTTGAAACACCGTGTATAGCTGACAGGCTTAGAGTGAAAATCCATTAGAAGTTTCATACTGATCTAGCCCTGTGGTTCTTAACCGGCGGTCCCTGGAACTACTCAGAGTGGTCCACGACGCCATTCTAAAAACAAAGAGCGAGCCTTACAGTTGTCGCGTATGATGTGTAACATTAGGGTATTTGACAGTATTAAAAATAAAGTGCCAATTGTTAGCATCTGTGTTTAGAATGAATATTGGCAGGGGTTTTCACTATTTTTACAAAAAAAAAATATTCATAATTTTACTAAAAACCTACAAAAAAGATAATAGTTTTCTTAAATAAAACTAGTTTTTACGGGTTAATGCACGAAAACTTTATTTATTTATTGACGTTTCGTAGTCTTTACAGGCTACGTCGTCAGAATCTGCTTTCTGTGAAAACAATAATAATAATAATATTCTTTATTGACATACACCTCACAGGACATACAAGACATTAAACATGACAGTGAAAACGTACACAATAGGCGGCCTTATTGCTAAACAGCAATCTCTTCCAGGCAACCCATGACAGTGAAATAAATAAATAAGAGGAACAAGAAGGGGGGGAGGTGTAGCAGGTATGGTAAAATAAATAATGAATAATAGATGTAATAGATATATACAAAGAGAGAGACAAGAGAGAGGTAAGACTTAAAGTTGGGAAAGGAAATAACCTCTAACTTTAAAACAAATGAGTGATGTGCGTGAAAACCTAAGAAACAAATTTGTTAACCAGTACGGGCTGGAAACCGCCAATAAGATCCGCCGATTGGAAGGCCTGAAGACAAAGCGCATTCTGACGACGTAGCCTGTAAAGACTACGAAACGTCAATAAATAAATAAAGTTTTCGTGCATTAACCCGTAAAAACTAGTTTTATTTAATGAGTGATGTGCGTAAAAACCTAAGAAACAAATAGTTTTCTTATCTATTGTCACGTGACCCAAAGCGCTTGGGATTGGCGGAGCCTAAAATGACGTCACACACAAGTAAACTTCCGGTTAAAGTGACATTGCATTGTATCGTTTGACGTTTTAATAACAGTCGTGTGCCGTCACACACTAGTAAGACGCCATATTGTCCAGAAAACCATTTTCGCGGCAACTTGAAAATGGAGTTTGTTTTGGTTATTTTTACTGAAATACACAACAAAATGATGAATACCCACTTTTTACAGACTCCACATTAGTCATAGTCATATAGACTAAACATTAGTCAATAACGTGAGATCGATTTCTAAAACTTGTCAAATACCCTATTAAAACCTCACCTTATATTAGTAAAAAAATAAATAAAACGTACTACAGAAGGAATAAGCCATTTGAACAATATGATCTAAAATCAAATCAAATAGCGCGCGCTTTCGCGACTTCCTGTTACACACTTCCGTCCCATTTCACGAAATCACTCCCACAAATTGCAGGAAAGGGAGAGGAAAGATGTTACACATCAAAAATATTACAGTACCCATAGTACGAGTTTTACAATTACGAAAACTATGATAGTTTTCGTGAGCTCGCACTCGTACTAAGGGTACTGATTTTATTGTTTTTGTTTCAATACAAGTAAACAGTGTCTAAATTCTATCATTAAATCATTTACGTCTTCTTAAAATGGACATAGAAACATAATTTACAATTACGAAAACTATGACAGTTTTCGTGAGCTCAAACTTTTACTAAGGGTACAGAAGTAAGAGAACGCTTATTGATTTATGAATCCTATGGCAAGACAGACATTTTGACAAATGGTCCCTCATCATTATAGGTCAGGAACCACTGAGCTAGTCTAAAATAAATCTTCTTGAGTTTCGAATGTACATGTGATTGAATTGATTTAATTTAACTTATGTTTTTATTTATTTTTAAGCATTTAACTTTTTTTTTCTAGTAATACTTGAAAAAGTATTCATTTGACATTGTGGGTTGCCTACAATGCGAAGAGATGGCGCTGCCTTGCAGCTTAAGGGTAGGGAAAATTCGACGCGGCCAATAGGGCCGTTGTAGCATAATGGCCAGTGCATTTGCCCGGATTGCGAAGAGTGCGGGTTCGAGTCCCGTCCGCTGCCTGGTCCGCGTGGATTTTTTTTTCTAGTAAACTTTTCTTTAATTTAACTTGTTATGATATGATTATGAATTGACTATGATGATAATAATATAATTTGACTTGATTTTTTTATTTATTTGTTAAATTTGATTGAAATTTGGTTGGACCTGGGGGGCATTCGCCTAACGGTAATGCTTTGGAAAACGCTAACGCTTTTGATTTTATTTTGTCATTTCTGACCGCCGAAGGTTTTAAAATACCTCACGCTGATTTTTTTTAATATTGTTATTACCAATGCAAAAGAAAAAAAAGAGGCATTTAAAAACCTCAGACGGCTAGAAATCTATATATATAAAACTCAAAGGTGACTGACTGACATAATGATCTATCAACGCACAGCCCAAACCACTGGACGGATCGGGCTGAAATTTGGCATGCAGGTAGATGTTATGACGTAGGCATCCGCTAAGAAAGGATTTTGATCAGTAGGGGTGATGACGGGGTGCAGTAAACGAAATTCTATTTAGTCCGTCAGTTAGATGATCAAAAAATAATGGACACGTATTTTTTCTTTGGGCAATCGACCAAAAAATGATAAAGTTATAGCGCGTCAAAGTTTGGGAGTAGGGGCTCGTGACGTCACTTTTGAGTGAATTTTCACTTATAAGTGTACTCAAACGTGACGTCATGCGACTTTTCAAATCAATATATCTCTGCAATGTTTGTATTATGTGAAAAAAGAAAAAAATACGTGTCCAATACTTTTTGATAATCTACCTGATAAACGAAGAAAAAAAAATAGTCATCATCCCTATTCTACCCCGGAGCGAAGCGAGGGCGGGCTAGTAACAATATAAAATCGTAAGTGTTAGCGTTTACCAAAGCATTTCCGTTAGGCGAATGGCCCCCTGATTTGATTTATTTTGAATTAACCTATCAAGTTTATTGCTGCACCCCATTGGGTTCATGTACCACTCACTATTACAATGTAACACCTTTTAATAAAATACTGTACATGTGCAATCTGAAATAAATGAAATTGATCTTTAACCGTCACACGTTAAGGTTCACAAACGCGTGCACAACGACGACAGGCCTTGCAAGTGCGACGAGTGCGGCCGACGATTCCGTCAGTGGAGCGACCTCAAGTACCACAAGAGCTCCATACATTCCACACAGGTGATAACTAGCTTTCATCATCATCATCATCATCATCATCAGCCTATTAATGTCCCCACTGCTGGGGCACAGGCCGTCCCTATGGATGGAATAGGGGGCCGTCCATAAATTACGTCATCGATTTTTTCAGATTTTAGACCCCCCGCCCCTACAATCATCCTATCGTCATTTCTTAATGACCCCCCCCCCCCTTCTCCCAAAATTGACGTCATTACCAGTTTGACAAAATTAAAATATTGCAGATTTGAGAAAAGCTAGTATTATATGTAATATTATTGTTAGAGTATTTTATCTGTAGTTATTACTGTATTTGTGTACATCTATGTTGCATTATGTATGTTTATTATGAGTTATTTTAGTATTGTACGCGCCTTAGCCGCCTCTCACATTTGCAGTCTCACTTACTAGGTGTGCTGGAAGAAATTTCTTTTTAGAAATAATCTTTTTGTACGTGAGCAAATAAACTATAAATAAATAAATAAGAATGACGTCAATTTCGAAACACCTCCCCCCCGTATCTATCATTTACCGTCATCCGCAGAGCAACCCCCCCCCCCCCCCCCCCCAATTTAGAATGACGTAATATATGGACGGCCCCTAGGGAGATTGGGCCATGACCCGCCACGCGGGCCCCAGTGGGGATTGGTGGGTGCTAACGACTGCAGATGCAACCGGGACCAACGGCTTAACGTGCCTTCCGAAGCACGGAGGAGCTCGAGATAGTAATTTTTGGTCACCCATCCAATGACCGACCACTGCGAAAGTTGCTTAACTTCAACGATCGCAGCCAAACGCGCTAACCCCTTGCGCAATCGAGCTCCTTTCATCATCATCAGCCTATTAGTGTCCCCACTGCTGGGACACGGGTTTTCACTATATTATAGTCTGTTCCAAAGGAATTTATTCCAAAAGTAAACAAACACTTTACCTCCTAATTCCCACGCAATTATTCCATAAATTGATTTCTCAACACATTCATTTGCATTTCTAGGGGTTTGACTTATTAATTCACTATCTTTTATAGCACTTATTTCTTTATAAATTATGAAAAATTGAAAATAAAGGCGAGTCGAAAAGTAATATTTTAAAAGATGGGTATTTTCTGTTGTGTATGGTTGAACAGTGTTGCACTGAAAAGTGTATTCAAAATGATTTCATTTGACTTTAGTAATCGAATAGTGAATCGATTATTTATTCGAACTGATAAGTGACATATAACTAATACTGTTCATGGAATTATATTTTTGTGTTATTGCAAATATGAGCAGTTAAGTTGGTATTATTTTTAATTTTTTGGTTTTATTATTATCTTAAATCTTAATTACGGATGGTATGGTATTTTAATTATCCGCTTATTGTTTCATCCTGGATATTAAAGTGTGAAAGTGGTATAGTTTTGATTTACTTATAGCACAGACGCAATAATTGGCAAACATACGACGACGACGAACCTAGATATTCGCATATCCTTCGGTAGACCTTCAACTAAGAAATCTCTATTTTATGATCAACGAATTAATAATAATATGAAAAACGAACTGCGCTAAAAAGTGGTTCCACGCAAACTGCGCTCAACTAGGCGGTGGAAAAACTGCGATCATCCCGCCGAACCCGGGATTGGTTGAGATTTTCCTTTGAAATTATTTGACCCAATGAATGGATAGCCGAATTCTATTGCAGACATTTGATTTGTCAAAGTATTTTGTTATATCTGCGCGCGTGAAGATTAGGTGTATGAATTTGGAACTATGTTTTAGCGGTCTTTGTTTGAGAGTAACGCTGTAGTATTTCTAATTAGTTATAGTAATATAAGTTATTTACAGGATTGTTACCATGTACCTTGTTTTTAGCGAGTTTCCGATATTTCGGCACTGTTGCAAGCGCCATGATCACGGAGTAACTGAAGTAATTGCGGGTAGGCTGTTATTGGCAGACATATCGGTCTACCCTCCGACGAAGTCTTTAATTGCGTTCGATACCAAATATTGGAAACTCGCTAAAAACAAGGTACATGGTAACAATCCCGTTAATAACTTATCTAATATATAAAATTCTCGCGTCGCGGTATTTGTGGTTAAACTCCTCCGAAACGGCTCGACCGATTTTCGTGAAATTTTATATGCATATTCAGTAGGTCTGAGAATCGGATGTCATCTATTTTTCATCCCCCTAAATGTTAAGGGTAATCCACCTTTTTTTTCTAATTTTAGATATTTTTTTATGATACATCATACAAAAATACATACATCCCTAAATATTCAACTTTCTACCACCAACCCCTATTTTTTTATGGCGTTACGAAGTTCGCTGGGTCAGCTAGTATTACTATAATGTAAGTGACCATGAAAGTTTAAAACAATATAATATTCTAATTAGTTGTTTGATATTCACAGAAACATTTCAAGTGCGACTTTTGCGGTAAACAATTCGCCCGCAAATACTCGCTGAACCTCCATCGTAAGATTCATACTGGCGAGCGCGACTACAAGTGCGAATACTGTGATAAAAGCTTCAGAGCTTCTTCATACAGACTCAGCCATATGAGGACGCATACAGGTAACAACAATCGTCATATTTATTTAAATAAAAATAAATAAATAATATTCACTAGAAAAAAAAAAATCCACGCGGACCAGGCAGCGGACGGGACTCGAACCCGCATCCTTCGCTATCCGGCCCTATTAGCCGCGTCGAAATTTTCCTAGCCTTAAGCTGCATGGCAGCGCCATCTGTTCGCATTGTAGGTAACCCACAATGTCAAATGAATACTTTTTCAAGTATTAAACATTTGAAAGAAGAAATAGCAATTATAGTTATGATTTTATTTACTAAATAAAACGGGCCGTGGTAGCATAATGGTCAGTGCATTCGCCCGGATAGCGAAGGATGCGGGTTCGAGTCCCGTCCGTTGCCTGGTCCGCGTGGATTTTTTTCTAGTAAACTTTTCTTTAGATTTAAACATCTAGCAGTTAAATGCTTAAAAAAAAAAAAATCATAAATAAAATTCATTTATTTCGAGCAACGTTACTCATAATCATAATAATAATACATAATCACTTACAATAGAAATAGGCACATGTCACTAAAAATACAACTTATCGTTTATTTAATTTAATTTAATAAATTACATAATTTAAATTCAATAAATTCCATTAAATAAAATAATTAAAATAATTTAATTAAAAATCACAAGTCAAGTTAATAGTGTTATAATGTCATACAAAAAATGAATATTAAAATGTCATAGGTATACAAAATTTCTTATTTATATCAGATCGCATTTTTTTTAATAGAATATAGCTTACAATTATATTTAATAACATTACAACTTTATTGACACAATTACAAAAAACTTTATTGCCACAATAGGGATAATGACTAATTTTTTTTCTTCGTTTATCAGGTAGATTATCAAAAAGTGTTGGACACGTATTTTTTCTTTTTTCACATAATATAAACATTGCAGAGATATATTGATTTGAAAAGTCGCATGACGTCACGTTTGAGTACACTTATAAGTGAAAATTCACTCAAAAGTGACGTCACGAGCCCCTACTCCCAAACTTTGAAGCGCTATAACTTTGTCATTTTTTGGTTGATTGCCCAAAGAAAAAATACGTGTCCATTATTTTTTGATCATCTAACTGACGGACTAAATAGAATATCGTTTACTGTACCCCGTCATTACCCCTATTACAAAATGGACAAAAGGCGGTTAAGTCCGCTAAAAACATTCTCTGCCAGTCAACCTTCAGGAGTACAGAAAGTCACGAATGCGGCTTTAGTAAAAAAGTTATTAATAATATAAACATACCATAATAGAAAGTACTTATACATAATAATTAAATATACCTATATTTAATTATTCATCATCAGCCTATTAATGTCCCCACTGCTGGGGCACAGGCTTCCCTATGGATGGAATAGGGAGATTGGGCCATGACCCACCACGCGGGCCCAGTGCGGGTTGGTGGGTGCTAACGTCTGCAGATGCAACCGGGACCAACGGCTTAACGTGCCTTCCGAAGCACGGAGGAGCTCGAGATAGTAAATTATGGTCACCCATCCAATGACCGACCACTGCGAAAGTTGCTTAAATTCAACGATCGCTACGGAACGCGCTAACCACTTGCGCCATCGAGCTCCTCTATTTTTTTCACTCATTATTTAATTATTATTACAATACAATACACAATACTTTATTGAAAACACCACAACACAGAACAGAAATGAGGGACATTACAATTGTTAAAAAACAGTGCTTCAATGGGCAGTCTTATCGCTAAAAGCTACCTATATCATTAGCCTATAAATGTCCCCATTGCTGGGGCCATAGAGGTATAAGAATAGAGTAGGGGAGATATAGACTCTACTACAAGTGGAAGTGTCACTCTAATAGAAAGAGAAAGAAGATGAGAGACCCCTAGCTTTCTCTCTCTAATCGCGCATGCGCATTGGCGACCGTAAGCGTCTTACTATTTCGATGTGATGCCATTGGATGCCATGCGTCATAAGAGCTCTCTCTCTTAGCTAGCGGTACCTCATCTTCTTTCTCTTTCTGCTAGACGAACATTTTTAGAGCCGCCTTCCCCACTCTATTGTTATACCTCTATGGCTGGGGTACCTTCCCAATGGGCCCAGTGCGGATTAGCGGGTGCTAACGACTGCAGATGCACGTATAACGTGCCTTCGGAAGCACGGAGGAACTGGAGATAGAAGAATTTTGGTCACCCATCCAATGATCGGCCACTGCGAAAGTTGCTTAACTTCAATGAGCGCAGCCAGACGCGCTAGCCACCTGCGCCATCGAGCTCCCAGTAATAGTATTGGTTTACATAATCATAAATAAATCGTGTCATTAAAAAAAGAATTCGCAAACGACGACGTAAGACATTCTGTCCCTTTCACACATACTATTCTCGGTAAAGTACGAGAGAGTTGGAATGTCTTGCGTCGTCATTTTCGATTCATTTTTTTAATGACACGAGCTGTACACAAACATGATGATATTATAGAAACCAAAATATTCAAAATTATTTGATAAAAGCATTATAATTAATACACATCTTATCACACACCCCTCCACAGGCGACCGTCCATACAAATGCAACGAATGCGAGAAATGCTTCCGCGCCGCCGGCGATCTACGCCGACACGCTTTAACTCACGACAAACTACGAAACCGCCTCGACGAGGCGAAGTCCCGCTCGCAATCCCGTCGCCACCCCCCCGCGCCCCCTCCGAGACCCCCCACGCCCCCTCCCAGACCCCCCCTCCTCCGTAAAACCGCCCCCAAAATCACCCCGCCCCCCAAAAAGCCCCCCAAACCCAAAAAGAACGCGCTAAAGAAATCCTCCGCGCCAAACGTCACCGTATCTCAGTCAGACTTCAAACTAACCGGTTACGAGACCTCCGAAAGCCCGACTGAAGTCTTCGACACGCGACAAGTGGACTACAAATTCAAAGAGGTTTACAACGACGAAGCCGATTACTCCAAAATGAAAGATTATGACGCACAACCGTACAAAGATGGCGAGAGGCTGAGCGACAAACCCAGAAAGAACGCGCTGAGGAAAGCTTCCGCGCCAAACGTCACCGTGACGCGGTCAGACTTCAAACTGACCGGTTACGAGACCTCCGAAAGCCCGACGGAAGTTTTCGACACGCGACAAGTCGAATACAAGTTCAAAGAAGTTTACAGCGACGAAAGCGATTACTCCAAAGTGAAAGATTATGACGCGCAACCGTACAAAGATAGCGAGAGAGTGAGCGAGAGGGAGTTAACCGTATTCCGGGGCCAGTTGTGCGAAAGAGACAACACGGACGGCAAGTTACAAGTCTTCACTCACATAGAGAAGACTAAAGATTACGCAGGGCCTATAGTTACAAATCCTGTGTCTTTGGGTGATATGAGACATTTGGATAGGGACGTAAGAGATACCCGGGTAGACGGAATGCAAGGAGAGACGATAGAGAATGCGTTTTTTGAAAGACTGACGGCGCTGTATAATATACCCACCTGAGATATGAGTAAAGCTAAACGATCAAAGCAGGGCTTGAAACCGGTTTCGAAAATACCGGTAAATAAAGGTTAATACCGGTTTTTCGTAAAGGTTTCGTTCGGAGCGCGTCCAAAATGAAAGCGGTACCTAAAACATTAGTAAACCGGTTTAATCCAGAGCGACACGTGCACGCGTCGGCATCGCTTGAAGTTTGTTTTGTTTGAACTAACCAAGTCACAACTTGTTAATGCTCAGAGTCTGATGCATTTATTGACACGTTTGCTAGCATCTAGTGAGTCAAGTTATTCATTTATTATCGATGCCGTCAGAAAGAGCGAAACGAAACCCTTTAAAACCGCTAAATTGATTCAAAACCTATTTGATTACGCTCTTTAGGAAAACCGGTTTTTTAAGGTTAAGGTAGAGCCAGACCTAAATAAAACGCTCCTTATGTACTTGACACTGATTAAGGTTTGAAAATTAACCGGTATACAAGCCCTGGATCAAAGCATCGGCTTCAGTGTCGATGCTCGGTAGACCATGACAGAAACCAGTTTTCGTAAGCATTAGGTATATATGAACTGGTAAAGAAGAGACCAATTTTTTAATGCTAAAAGTACTTATATATATAAATGTATATATAAAACAAGTGTCAACGGTATACATGCACTGATTTATTTATTTACTAGCGGCCCGCCCTCGCTTCGCTTCGGTGTAGAGAAGTGTAGACTACAGTTTTTGTTCTCAGGCTTGTATTATACACAATGACATTCATCTATGATTCTTCTTATACCTGCATGCAAAGTCTCAGCCCGATCGGTTTGAAATTGACAAAGTTTCATATAAACTTTCATTCCCTATGTTATCCTCTTGGGGGTAGAATTGATCAAAATCCTTTCTTAGCGGATGCCTACCTCATAACATCTACCTGCATGCCAAATTTCAGCCCGATCCATCCAGTGGTTTGGGCTGTGCGTTGATAGATCACTATGTCAGTCAGTCAGTCACCTTTGAGTTTTATATATATATATATAGATTGACGTTTCGCATCCTTTTCAGGGTTCGTCTGAATTATGAATTACTAGCTGTGCCCCGCGGTGTTACCCGCGGTTTGTTAGGGATATTTTCCCGATGTCAATGTGTTAATTCAGGGAGTCACCTAACTCCATACCAAATTTTAATAAAATCGCTCCAGCCGTTTAGACGTGAAGAAGTAACAAACACAAACACTCACAAACTTTCGCCTTTATAATATTAGTGTGATCAATAAGTCAATAAATAAATAGATCAGGGCATCTATACCGTTGAAACTTGATTTATTTAAGGAGTGGTGTCCGAGAAAACCTAAGAAACAAATATATTTATATATAATGCGATTCAACTAAGAATAGGACCGTCTGGGCGCCATATTGTGACGTCATAGCTGTCAATTCAAACGAAATAGGTAGAGTGAGCAAAAAAAGCTTTTATTTAATAAAACTTATTTACTAAGATTAAGTGAGAAATAGCATCAGATTTTTTTAATAAAACTTATTTACTGAGATTGAGAAAAGAAAACAACCGATTCTTAATAATATTTATTTATTAAAACTGTGTGAGAAAAAACATTAATCAGAATTAAGCTCTTCAATTCCGCTCATCTCTGCATTACCACCGGAGTAGTTATGAATAATCATGCACTATTACTAGGTCACATACGAACATGCATTCTTTATGTAAACGAAAGTTTCAAATCGTGTTTCTGAACGCAACTTAAAATGACATTTGGTTGACGATTTAGGTTAACAACATTCATAGCCAAAGCTCAATAAATGAAAAATAAAATATCAACCAATATTAATTATCAATATTTGTTATTGTTTGTTTACAAATTAATAGAATTAGCTGAGTGCTAAAAAAAGATTTCAGGTTTTTTTTTGCAAACCGTACTTTTCAAGCGACATTTGACAGATGGAGGTCATTGGCTTTCCTATTCTTAAATCTAAAGAAAATATAACTAGAAAAAAATGTTTAATACTTGTAAAAGTATTCATTTGACATTGTGGGTTTACCTATAATGCGAAGAGATGGCGCTGCCTTGCAGCTTAAGAATAGCTAGAAGGAATTTCGACGCGGTCCGTGAGGGCCGCGGTAGCATAATTGGTCAGTGCATTCGCCCGGATTGCGAAGGGTGCGGGTTCGAGTCCCGTCTGCTGCCTGGTCCGCGTGGAATTTTTTCTAGTTATATTTTCTTTAGATTTAAACATCAAGCAGTTACATGCTTTAAAATAATAAAAATTATTTCCTATTCTTATTTTAATCGCATTATATGTTTACGATCGCACTGAGATACGTCAATTAGTTTTGAATTTTTTATTTCCTATGATGTTTTTAGTTTCTTAATGATAGCGATTTTGTTCTCATTATTTACTAATGTAGAATTACGACGCGTCGCTCTTTCCGGCTTTAAATTTAATTGATTACTCTGAGTGCGGCCGTTAGATGATAAAAAAGTGAAAAAGGTGCTTAAGAGTGCATAATAGCAGACATCACAAAGGTTATTATTAAAATGTTAATTTTATTGTTTAAGTCATGTGTAGTTTGACAACCATCTGTCCTTATCATGCTTTATAAGGAGTGAAAAGGACAGACTGATGGCAATTTTACAATAGCCAAGTGAAGTGCTGGCATTAAAGAAATCATTTTTCGTAAAGGCGCCGTCATTGGACTATCCGGTTCATCAGTATTTTTTCCCAATGTATTAGGTGTCTAAACTTTTGGGAGGAAAACTATTTATTGTACAAAATAATACTACAGATTTGTATGTTAAGAACAATTTTAAAGTGCTGGTAACAATTTTAAAAGTAAAAGAAAATTTTTGTCATAAATCGATCGAGGTTTATCTTAAAATTTTTTTTGGCTAATTTAGATAGTTAAACCATTTTTATTAAATTGTACCCAATTTTCCCCAAATTGAAAATAATTGGGCATTTTTACGTCAAAATAAGAGAACAAAACACATAGTTGAATGAAGTAGTTATTTACAAGCCTTTTATAGAAAAAAACTTAGTATTTTTTGCCATACTTGAAAATAATGGTGCCGTTCTGCTAAACAAAATAAAGTTTACTAACGAAATTGATAAAATTTAATTAATACTTCTGAAAGCATAATAATGGTATTTTATGAATTGTGAATATTTATATGTTGAATGTTATTTAAAAATCCTAAGAAATTAAGTACCTGTTGTAAGTAATTTAAAATGAATGGTGATTATGACTGTTTTTTTCTTCGTCTGTCAGGCAGATTATCAAAAAGTATTGGACACGTATTTTTTCTACATCCACACCAATCAAAATATTACAAAGGTATATTGATTTGAAATGTCGTATGACGTCACGTCTTGGTACAATTTTTACTCGGAAGCGACGTCGCGAACCTCCAGTCCCAATCATTCATAATAAATAAATAAATATTTCCAACACTCACACCAATTAGCCTAGCCGTAAGTAAGCACTGTAAGGCTTGTGTTATGGGATGCTAGGGTAACGGATAGAATACATATACTGTACATATATAAGTATCTAATATATAAAATTCTCGTGTCGCGGTGTTTGTGGTTAAACTCCTCCGAAACGGCTCGACCGATTTTCGTGAAATTTTGTGTGCTTATTGGGTAGGTCTGAGAATCGGATGTAATCTATTTTTCATTCCCCTAAATGTTAATTGTACCACCCCCCCCCCCTCCATTTTTTTTTAATTTTAGATAAAATTTTTTTATAATTTTTTTATGATACGTCATACAAAAATACATACAACCCTAAATTTTCACCCTTCTACCACCAACCCCTATTTTTTTATGGCGGTACAAAGTTCGCTGGGACAGCTAGTATTTATATAGAAATACATATTGAACATCCATGGCTGGAGTACAAATGCTCGTATTCATCACACAAACATCTGCCCCCACCGGGATTCGAACCCGGGAATTCTCGAGTCGGCGACACTGAAACCCGGCGTACAAACCACTAGGCCACGGAGGTCGTCGAATGATGAATTGATGCCTTTCATATTAGTTATTCTTTTGTTTATAAACGAAAAAAATAATTGTCCATTATTGTTTGATAATCTTAATGAGGGACTTCATAGTTTTTTTTACACCCTTTCAGGTGTATTGGGGGTACTTCACAGGGTGCAAGGTTGCCCCCCGTAAATTATGGGCTCCCATACTATTGTAAAAGTACATTCTTTGTGGCTGAACTAAAAAAATGAGACAAATTGTTTATTTATGTAAATCTTTTCTTACAATAGTTTTTCGTTTTCCTATTTTCTAATAATCTTTAGACAATAGCAAAAATTATAACTTGTCGTGTCATATCAAACTGTAATATAACTTTATATAATTTAGTTTATAATTTGAATCTGATACTGACCGAGATTTTTGTATTGATTAGTTTTAAAATTTTTCAGTAAGTTCATCGACATTTTTAATAGCAAATTGTTCATTTGCAATTTTGTCGATGAGATTATCACGAGGATCAAAAACTTTAACAAAATATCATATCAGAAAAATACCTATGGTTCTTCGAGTCCTGTAGTGCATTATTTTAAGATATCTACAACCTAATATAATATATCGAAATAAAAATTACCTATCTATTAGTGATGTAACGAATATTCGCGAATGCGCATTCGCAAAATCTCTGCGAATGTTTTGCGAATATGAATTTTAGAAAAAAACAATTTGAAGAAGTTGTAGTTCTGCATTTCCTTGAATATTCATTGTTACACAGTTTGCATTTAGCTCGTTCAGCATCGCAAAGTGTGAAATAAGTCCATGTTTCACTAGAATTCGATTTACTCATGTTAACAAATCACTATTACCACTCACAATCACTAACCTCAAAATTCACTTGTTTTGTTAACGGAAAGACCGGTGCGAGCGGAATGACACTTCAGTAGGATGAGTTCATATCAACTCGGCAATTCGAACGAGACTGCCACCATGCCATAGACAATGAAGGCTACCGTTTTCTGCCTCACC